ACATCCTCCTCAATCGTCTAGTTTTTACTTACCGTTGGTTATGTTTTGATGGCCTTGTTAAGGGATTATGAAGTTAAGGGCCTTCACTTTGAGATGGTGAATATTGTACAAGGAACGGGATACTAATAGCTTCGAATTATTGAGTCTCATTATATGGTAAATGTGATGATGGTATTGGTGATGAGAGATACTGCATATTTGGGTGAAAAAAATGTTCATTTGGTTATGGGTAGTACTACGTTGCTTAAAACGGAGGGTTAAGAGTCATACCAAAATATTTTTGGAAGATTTTTTCTTCACTAGTAAGGTTTGGCGTACTTTGTGTAAAAGTATTGACGTTCAGTGGCTGTGATTGACATATTATTTGTCTAAGACAAACTGATTATCTCATTTACATCATCCATCACATTGTTTTCTATTATGTCCATCATGATTCTACACAATAGTAATTAGAAAGATACAAACAATCACTAAAAAAACATCAAAGGTTGAATTTACTTTAGGGCAAACTATTTTTTTAGTCCCGTAACTGGACCCCCTTACCATTTTAGTCCCGTAAGTGGAGTATGTCGCAAACTAGTCCCATAAGTGAAAAAATTTTGTTGTTTTAGTCCTCCGGCGCCGGAGACGCCCGCGTGGCTCGCCAGAAGCCACGTGTCCCGCCAAGTCAGCGACACCTGATGGACACGTGGATTTTATTTTATTTTTTCATTTTTTTAATTTTTTTAATTTCTTGTTAATTGGACTAAATAAAAAAATTAAAAATAAAACAAATAAAATTAAAAATAAATTTTAAAAATAAATAAATAAATAAATAAAATCTTTGTGTCCGCCAGGTCAGCGACACCTGGCGGACACGTGGCCTCCGGCGAGCCACGTGGGCATCTCCGCCGCCGAATGACTAAAACAATGAAAACTTTTCACTTATGGGACTAGTTTGCGACATGCTCCACTTATGAGACTAAAATAATAAGGAGGTCCAGTTACGGGACTGAAAAAACAGTTTACCCTTTACTTTAATTAAACAAAGATTAGCAAAACATTCCACTAGTACAAGCAAACCTCAAAATAGAAATAATTGATGTTCAGAAGGTATAACACAATTCTCTTTAGGAAACAAAAGTTGAACCCCATTAACATTTCAATTCCATGCATGCACTACCATTTACATATAAAAATATTCCATATTCTATAGACAAGGTTCTAGTCTATACTCGAGAAGCAATATTCAAACAAATAGAGAGTATCCTACTTTAAAAAAAAAAAAAAATTACAAAATGATACTGTCAAGTAATTTTAAATACAATGAGTACCAAAATTGTGTTTACTAAAATGAGGATTCTAGCAACCTAATAATACTAATTTCAAGTATGTTCTCTTAATGATTTCTATAAGAGAAAAATTGCAAAAAATATCTAACACGAATACACCATTATCACTTTTGTCCTGTATTTATCTCGCTGGTAAAATATATCCTACATGTTTGCAAAAGTCGTTATTTATATCATCTGGCCGTGCGTGGCCGCGCGTAATGGGGCGTGGTGTGAATTGACGCGCGGGCAAAGGACATAAATAGAGACTTTTGTAAACATGTGAGATATATTTTGCCAGCGAGATAAATACATGACAAAAGTGATATATTTCCTCCGTTTCTTAACAATCTATCCATTTTTTTATTTTGGTACGTTCCATAATAAAATATTTATTTCTTTTTTTAGTAACGATACTTTCTACTAACATGAAAAATATCCTTACAACTTATAACATATTACACAAATATCATTACCTTTATATCACACAATACTAATAAAGTTATTTTAGTATTTTCTACTTTATTCATACCACACCCCAATATAATATTAATATGCTTAAAACTTTGTACAAAAAATAAACGGATAGATAGATAAGGGATCAGGGGAGTATCATTTAATATGCCTTGGTATTTTTTAGAATTTTAGTCATATTTGGAGTCATAATAAAAAAATAAAATAAAATCGCTTCACGTTGAGAATATTCTGACAAAATTGCGTGCCAGCTTATCATATTGTTTGATCGCAATATCTCTCACGCTTGCAAAGACAAATAATGTGAATAATTGAAAGTCAATGAGATAAAGAGTTTGGTATTCAACTCTGGAAAATCACCACAATCTGTGTTAGAGTGAATCTCAACCACTAGCATATGTTGGAATGGGGCTGAGATAATGTGCCAGTTGGCAAATTACAACTGTCAACCTTCTAGAAACATTGTCAGTGCTTATAAATACGGGTTGATTTGAATTATTTGTAACAATTCCACTTAAACGCGATCATTTTAGGAAGAGTAGCTATAAAGAGCTCCAAAAGTTTAGCGTGGATGGATTGTAGCACTTGTAACAGGAGTCGCGTGCTCACCATCTATTTCATTTACTATATGCACTTAGCTAAATTTCCTGGTTTTATAGTGTAATCGGAGCGCTACCAATCGTATTTCATTTTGCGAAAAGAGGTCTTTCTCGACTCAACTTTCTATCTAATTTTTTTCATTATCTCCATACCTATATTCCAACACCATTTAAATCAAATGGTGAAGCATCTCGGAAATTATAATTCGAATTTGATACTAAGTGTGTGGGGGTAAAAAGAATTATAAAAATAAATATATAAATAAATAAAATACATTCCAGATAGTCCCTATTGTCACCGAATTTTGTTGAGGTCGAAAATAATAACATATTTATTATTTTAATTGGGATTTATAGTAAAATAAATATATACATATGCTTTTGATTTATTCAAACAATATGAAAATATCACTTTAGGAATTATTCCAATTCAGCTAAATGGACAAATCCATATAATCAACAATATAACCAAAATACAAAATACTTACTCTAAAAACCTTTTATTTTGTTACAAGAGAGTTTCACTATGAGAAAAATTGTTCAATAATTGTAAATAAAATTACTGTTATGATCAAATTGTAATTTAATCTTTATAACCAATATATCTATATTATATTAAAAATATAAGAATAAATATAACATATATTTTATATTATAAATTTTATAATGTAAGTTCTACTATTTGTATTAATAATTATTTCTTATGTCATTAAAATTTATATTTAGTTTATTTTTAATTATCATAAAAAAGTATTTTTATTTTATTTTTTTATCAAAAAAGTATATAATTTTTTCCTTTTTTGTATTTTTATTATAAAAATAACCATTCTTATTTATATTTAGTAAAATTTATATCCAAATATTTAAGTACATAATAATATGATAGAAAAAGTATTATTAATTAATCTAAATTATACTAGTAATATATTTTTATTATTACTGTCAATTCAAATATATATATATATAGTAGTAACTATTAATTATACTATAAATTATAATATCTTTATCTTTATCTTTATATTTATATTTATGCTATTACATACTCTTACTTTGTAATAAAAGAACAATATTTTATAAAATTAAATACTATAAGAGATATTAATATATTTGTCAAAATAAAATAGTGTTTGGAAAATAGTTTTTTTAAGAATTTTTAGCTTATTAAACAGATCGGTTAACGTAAATTAATTTTTCAAAAGAGTTTTTTTATCCAAAAAACTAATATACCCAATCCTTTTCGGGACTAGCATTTCTGCTACGCAGCTTAGGTTTGTCAATGACATTCTTGCTGCTTAGCTCACTTTCAGTGACCCGGGAATGAGTGCCCCTTTCAGCGCGGAGGCACATTCGGAACAGGTTGAGAGATAAGCTTTTATCGGTGTAAAGGTCTGCAAACAAGAGTTGGACAGCTTGACCCGAACGTTTTAGAAGAGTTTTTTCACTTTAATTTTGTTTATTCCTTATTTACCCTTAAAAATTAGTTATTTTTTTTCATACATATAAATATATTATCATTGCAGTATTTATTAATTATTTTTAATATATATAATTTATTAAATTATAATTTTATTTTTGTAAATTTAAAATTATATATAAATTATTTTATTTGTAAGATAATTAAATCTATTAAAATTAAATCAAATAAAAAAAATAAATATCATAGTTTATTTATATATTTTTATTATATAAATTTACATTAAAAATTAATAAATAATAATTAACATAATAAAAGTATATATACAAAAGATCTATTATTTTATATTTTACACAATTTTAATAAAAAACTATTATTATTTTTTAATAAAAATATTTTTTCAAATATAAAAATAAAATTAAATATTTTATAGTATTCTTATAATTTTCAATAAGCAATGATAAAAATTCTAATAAATTTTAAACTAAAATGAACAAAATTAAATATTTTAAAAAATAACATATGTGCTTAGTTGTCATTACTGTATAAACACTTAGAATGTGTTTGTTTGGAGGATTGGATTAGATTTCCACTGTTAATCCAATTTTTTTCCCCCGAAACATCAAATCAAACACCTATTTTTTATTTTTTTATATTATACTAAAAATCAATTTTACATTCAAAACATCACATCAACACCTATTTATATCACATCATACAACTATTCAAATTCAAAAATTTTACTATTCAAATCCCAATTTAAAATCCAAACCCCCAATCAAATGCACCCTAATCAAATTGTTATTTTATCAAAACTTTACAAATAGCTAATTGAATCAGCTAATCAAATCAGCTAATCGAATCAACTAACAACTACCATCTAATTGAAGTAACGGCAAATGGCTGATTGTAAAACACATAACTAACAACTACCATCTAATTGAAGTAACGGCGAATGGCTGATTGTGAAACACATAACTAACAACTACCATCTAATTAAATCAACGGCAAACGGTTGATTGTGAAACACATCGCTATGCAATCCACATAAATATAAAAAAAATTATATAGTTACTATCAAAATAATAAATTTATATATATATATATATAAATAATATCGAAAAAAAAAACAAAAAACCAAAAACCAAAATTAAGACACCCTTATACTTTTAAAAAAATAACCCGACCGAACGGCCACTCCTACGGCCACATCCAAACTCGCCTTACGCCGTAGGTCAAAACTCAGCCGTTTAAGGTTTTTGATTAGGGTTTAAATTAGGGTTTTAGATTTAGGAGCCAGGCAGTGCGAACGCCGAAAGCTCTAACCTTTTCAGCAATGGCGACCTACCCACTGCACGAAGAAAAGAAGCTAAACGATGCAGGGACGGACGATTACACTGAATCTGAAGAAGAAGATGAAAACCAAATTTTGGAAGATCAAAATTGGGATGACTGGGAAGTCGACGAGGACTTAGCCGAGGAACAAAGCTCTGCTGGGGAGCTTCTCTGTCTGTTCTGCGACGCTAAGTACAGTGGATGCGGTTTGCTCTTTGAGCACTGTACTTCGGCTCACCACTTCGATTTCTATGGAATTAAGAAAGCTCATGCCTTGGATTTCTACAAATGCTTTAAGCTCATCAATTATATTAGGTCTCAGGTATTCACATAGTTCGGATTCTTATGACGAATTTCTCTCAAAACTATAGTAGTTGATCAATCGTTTCTTCTTGATTTTGTATAATACTTGAAGTTAATTACTCGCATGGATTTTCCATCTGATCGCCATACACCTACCTTTGTTTACAAGATTCTTCCTCCAACTTCTGAACCTCCACTTGTCTAGTTAGAGTGATGAGAAGAAACAGATTTATGGACGTTTTTAAGCTTTTAGCCTCCTAAATTTGTTTGTCAGACTAATTTCAGGGACATAATCTGCGTTGCATAAAAAACATTTGTCAACATAATCTGGATTTGTTACTTGCTTCTATGGAGTTGATAAACTGATAAGGTTTTTTTTTTCTTTTTTTTTTTGTTTTCTTTAAAGGAAAACACTACTAATAAACTTAATGGGTTATGTCGATTGTTATATTTCTCTCTTTCCGATTAACAGGTTTCAGCCGACAAATGCTGGTGTTGTGCGAAGAGTTTCAATTCAACAGAAGAATTGCAGAAACATTTGAATGAGTGTTCCTTGGCGGGAAACACTATTCCATGGGAGGATGAGAGATTTCTCACCCCATTTTTGCAGGATGATCCGCTGTTATATAGCTTTGATGAATGCGAAGAGTGTGAGGATGAGAACTGTATGCCCTTGGACTCAGAGGAGCTTGCTATGCACATCTCCAATGTTGAGCATCTTAAATTTGATGATGAGGATTCTCCTGATAGATATGTTTCTGAGATCGTGAGTCCATCTGAGAATGGAGCTCGGGAGGCTGATTTTATTTCTGAAAATGGTACAAAAACTGTAACAGATTTGGGAAGATTAACGGCAAATAGAATTAGCAGTAGTTCTGATGGAACATCATCATCTGCGAATATGGATAACAAGAAGCATTCTGCATCTGCTTCAAAAAGTGCTGAAAATGAGATTGAGAACATAAATAAGAATTATTTTGGTTCGTATGGTTCATTTGGCATTCACAGAGATATGATCAGCGATAAGGTATCAAATGACTGGATACACTTATATGTGTAGAAGTAGACATACAATTCTGATTGAATATCATACTTTTTCATTTGAAATCATGATGTTTAAACTATGCAGGTAAGAACTGAAGCTTATCGACTAGCCATATTGGAAAATCCTTCACTGATACAAGAATCTGTTGTTATGGATGTGGGTTGCGGAACAGGCATTTTAAGGTGATAAAGAAAGCTGATTCTTTACCTAGTTTTGTGATAGGTTTCCTTAGTTTTCTCAAGATTTTTTTCATTGAGTGAAAACATGATACGCCCTCCATCCCACCTCATCAGAATATATGTATATATATATATAAGAATTTTTTGTTATAAATTTTTATTTTGGCTAAACATAAAAGTTATACAGACATATATTTGGTAGACGAAGGAGTGCAAATTACAAAAGACATTTTGGGGTAGAATTTATTGTAATTGAAATCAACATTATGTCTGCTGTAATTGTATTTTTTTTTCTTCGGTTCTAGTTTATTTGCAGCTCAAGCAGGAGCTGCAAGGGTTATCGCCATTGAAGCAAGTGAAAAGATGGCTAGAGTAGCTACTCAGGTTGAGTTCATGGTTCTGTATTTAGTCCTGATATGTTTATTATTCTACTTCATATATGGTCACGGCTAATGATGCCAATTTGAATTTGCAGATTGCAGAAAACAATGGTTATCAGCAGAATGGTAGCATTCAAGGGAAAGCCGTCATTGAAGTGGTCCATGGCATGGTAGAAAAGCTTGAAAATCTTAGTCATATAAAGCCTCACAGTATTGATGTAATGGTTAGTGAATGGATGGGCTATTGCCTTCTCTACGAGTCAATGCTCAGTTCTGTACTCTTCGCAAGAGATCAATGGTTGAAGCCTGGAGGTGCGATTCTCCCAGACACAGCTACACTGGTGGGTTTCAGTTTTTTTTCTATAAATCTCTTACTGATATTTGAACTCCCTTATGTCCTCACTAATAATGTACTCTTGGACATTGATGTATCCAGTTTGTAGCTGGATTTGGTCGAGGAGGTACCAGTATTCCGTTCTGGGAGAATGTGTATGGTTTTGACATGTCTTGTATTGGTCGGGAGATTGTCGACGATGCAGCCCGAACTCCTATTGTTGATGTCATTGACAGTTGTCATATCATCACCACTACCGAATCTCTTCAGGTATGTATTCCTCGAAAATTCTCAACTACTTTATGTTGAGAAAAACTACTTTAGAGGCTGTTTGGTATAGAGAAATGGAGACAGATAAATGAAAATATTCACAATTCTCTTGTTTAGTTGAGACAAAAAATTAAGAATTGGAAAATAAATCATTTCCTATTCTCTAATTTCATTTCTCTCCTCCTTGTATACCTAGAGAAATGAAACAGAGTGAGTCCGTGTATGTTTATTTATTTTATTTTTTTGTATATTTAAATTTTATGATTTAATCTGTGTTTATTTGTTATTTTTTTCTTACTATTATTTATTATTTTATAAATTTTATATTATATAGATCTCATAAAATATCATATTTAAATTATTATTAAAATAACTTATCAAACTAAGAATATAAAAAAAAAATACAATATATTATTTTATCTAATTTATTAATTTTTAATGACCAATTTATCTTTTAAAATTAGTAATATAGTGTATTCTTTCTATGCCTTAAGTATTTTTTTTTTTACATTTCTAAACCAGAATTCTCTGTTTTATCAAACAAAAAAAACAATTCTCCAAATCCTTTTCACTATAATTCCATTATCTAGTATCATTTCTCTTATTTATTTTCATTCTCTGTACCAAATGCACTCTTAATGATTTTCGAAATATCCTTGGAGATTTACGAGTCCTAATTGATATGACCATTTCTATAGTCCTTTCAGCTTGCTTATATCTTCACTAATGAGTTTATTTTTCTCTATAATTTCAGTCGTTCGACTTGGCAACAATGCAGCCAAAACACATGGACTTTACAGCTACGGTCGAACTAGAGCCAAAGTCAGATGGTTCTAACTCAGAAACTACTTGGTGCTACGGAGTTGTTTTATGGTTCGACACTGGATTTACCGAGAGGTTTTGCCAGGAGAAGCCTGTCATTCTATCGACCTCACCCTATGGTCCAAGCACACACTGGTCCCAGACCATCCTCACTTTGCGAGAGCCAATTGCAACTGCCTTAAATGGCAGTAATGCGAAAGCATGCACAGTGGGTACCAAAGACAGCCCTGCCGTGAAAATTCAATGCCGTATCAGCATTGTCCGTGCTGCTCAACATCGCAGCATCGACATATCATTGGAGGTTACAGGAATCGGGTCTGATAATCAAAGACACACCTGGCCTGCCCAGATGTTCAATCTCAAGTAACAGTTCTATCTATCCATCCTCTTCTTCTTCTTCTCAATCAGGTCATTGTTAAGTTTTTACAATATTTATATATAGACTAGGGAAAGGGAGAGAATTTGTTTGTTTTTGTAGAAGAATTAAATTTTGGGAAGGAATGATTAGTTGCTGATGATTTTATTCACAAAATATGATTGAATTGGTGTATAATCTTTTAAGCATCTTATTATTATTATTATTATTATTATTATTATGGTTTCAATTATCATTAGTGTTCTTTATTGTCTCAAGGAAGACATCAGAAGAAGATAGAAACTTTCGGGGTAATGTAGTTTTTAGTTAAAAAATTAGTATATTGTGAAAATAATAAATATTTTATATGATGATTTGTAGAAAAAATACTCCATTATTGATGAAAAGTTCCAAAGTTTCCAAAATTGTATACGTCAGTTGAGCCGGCCATTTTGAAAGAAATGTGGTTTCAAGGCTGTCATATAATCAAAGGAACACGCAATGTATCCCTAAATACAAAATAACATTAACTTTTGTATATATAAATAAACCATTGGATTATATTATACGAAAATCGATTAAGCAAGAAAAGATACTTGGCATAAAACTAATAAAAGAATTCTTTGATCAATGCTGGATTTTACTTTATGAGCATATCCTATCAACAACTAATCATTTATATAATTGCCTCACAAGCTACTAGCTTCACAGGTACTATTACACTCTTGCACAAAAAATACAAGGAAAACAAGAATCAAGGGTAGGAGGATGATAGTCCAATCAAAGGAATATTGCACATGGGTTTGAGAATATATATATATATATATATATGTGTGTGTGTGTGTGTGTGTCTGTGGAATTAATCACACGATCATATACATATAATCACATCCAACTAATGAAAATAATCAACCCCACATTCATTCACCAACCAAACTTCCATCTCTTTCATGCATAACAACATAATCACTTCACATCACTACTCAACCAATCTTTTCAGGACATGAATAAGCATTTCTTTCTATTTCCATTCTTTGTTCTTTAAAGACTCAGCCTTATTCCAAATGAAATAGGAGTTAGGTGTCAGTATTGAGCCTTTGCATATTGACTTGTCTAGATTGATTAAAGTATGCCCAATGATTGTAGTAAGTAACAAGAAGACACAACACAAGTACACCCCACCCCACCCCACCCCACTCACTCCTAGAGTCCTTCATTCTTATCTTCCTCTCTAAGCAAAGAATGGTGGTTAGACTTTAACAGGGTTCTTTCTTTTCATTATTTGATGTATTTGTGCCTCTTTAACAGATGTCTTGTTTAGGCAAAAAAGGCTCTGTATCTGTCTCTATCTCTGTGTGTCTTTACCTATTATATACAACGAATGTTCTAAGACTCCTGCCATTGAATTATTGCATATTTGATCATTCTTTGGATACACACACACACCACAGTATGGCTTCTCTACTGCACTACTTTGCTATGCTACAGTTGCTACTTATTGTCATGCATTGTAGTGTAGCAATAAACCCAAGCCCACCACAGGTAAGTAGAATCCATTTTGTCCTACATATGTTGGTTCATTTGTGTGTGTAATGCGATAGCAATAAACACTGATAAGTTGCAATATTTGTCGTTTTAAAGTCTGTGGGTTGATTTGGTACCTTTGCAGCCCTACGTCATTTACATGGGAAGGTCTTGGAGTGCCGGTGGAATTGGCGACCACGACTCCAATCATCTGCAGCTCCTGTCATCAGTAATTCCAAGGTGAGTTTGTGAGATGTTTTGTAAGTCATATGCATAGTGAAAGAAAAGAAAATTCTCATCTTTCTTTTTGTGATTTATATTGTTTTCACTGGTAGCGAAGAGACTGACAGAAGAGTTTTGTTGAACTCCTATGGTCATGCTTTCAAGGGCTTCTCCGCGATGCTCACAGAGAGTGAAGCATCTGTTTTATCAGGTGCTTTGACACTCTCTATCTTGTCATCTGATAGAAACCATTCTGTTGGTGATGGATCACCTCACCAGTCACCTGACCTCATTCTCCTGTTTGTCTGGTGAAAAATGAAGGCCATGATGAGGTTTTATCGGTGTTCCCTGATCCGATTTTGAAGCTTCACACGACGCGTTCCTGGGATTTTCTTGAAGCAACAGAATCCCAACTCAGATCAACACTCCCTCATGAGCAGAAGTCATCTGATGTGATCATTGGAGTGATAGACACAGGTCTGCCAATGCAATTCATACTAGTGTAAACTGATGTGTGTTTTCATGTTACAATGTGCATCTAGTCTACTCAAGACTCGGAAATCTCTTCATTCGCCGTATCAGGTATATGGCCCGAGTCGCCAAGTTTCAGCGATCATAACATTGGCAAGATCCCATCAAAGTGGAAAGGAGTTTGCATGGAAGGCCCAGATTTCACCAAGTCGAACTGTAACAGGTAGTCCTTATACATATATATATATATATATAGCTGCAGTGTATGCAATTCTTTCCGCAAAACCTGTCTTGACCCTTTTTTCTCCCGACTCTTTCTTACACAGGAAGTTGATAGGCGCAAGATTCTATTCGAACCACGCTGTCCTAACCAGATCAAACCAAACAATTGCAAGTCCACATCCAACTCAGACACAAGGTGGCTCTCCAAGGGACTCACTTGGCCATGGGACACACACCTCATCGATTGCAGGAGGATCACCCGTCGAAAATGCCAGTTACTACGGCCTTGCACGTGGCCAAGCAAGGGGGGGCCTACCCTCTGCCAGGATCGCTAGCTACAAGGCGTGCACGCAAGATGGGTGCACAGGCTCTGTTATACTGAAAGCCATAGACGACGCCATCGGGGATGGAGTTGACATCATCTCCATTTCCATTGGCGGTAGCTCAATTTTCCAGTCCAGTTTTCTGACCGATGCTATTGCCATCGGGGCCTTCCATGCAGAGCAGATGGGAGTTGCAGTGGTTTGCTCAGGTGGGAATGACGGACCGAATCCTTACACGGTTGTTAACTCAGCTCCTTGGATATTCACTGTTGCTGCATCCACCATCGACCGCAATTTTCAGTCAACTATACTGCTGGGAAATAACCAGTCCTTCAAGGTAAAATGTAAAAACAAGAAACAAATAGTACCATTTTTCATTGAATTAACTTGATCCAAAACTATATAGTACTTATTTCTTAAATAGGGAATGGCAATCAATTTCTCACCTCTATCAGTTGGAAGAAGATATCCTCTTGCTTTTGGAGAACAAGTTGCAGCAAAATTCACTCCAGCATCTGAAGCCAGGTAGGAAAATCTGTGATACATTATCATACTCAATACAGAGAGGGATTCAGATTGAATGCATCTTGCAGGAACTGCGTACCAGGATCTTTGGATGGGAAGAAAGTAGCTGGAAAGATCATAGTGTGCGTAAATGACGAGCCTACCGTGTCAAGGAACATAAAGAAGTTAGTCGTGGAAGATGCTAAAGCAAAAGGGTTGATAATAATAGATTCACAAGAAGAGTCATCACCATTCGACTCAGGCACTTATCCCTTTGCACAAGTTGCAGAAGCTGCAGGCACCAAACTCCTCCACTACATCAACTCGACTAGGTAAGTTGCACATGTTGAGGAACTACTTAAGAGTGCATAGTTCTTTTCAAGCTCGATACTCATGGATAATCTCACAGAAATCCTACTGCAACTATACTCCCAACGAAGGTGATAGAGAACTCAAGACCGGCTCCAGTTGTAGCAGATTTCTCATCAAGAGGTCCTGGAAGGCTTACAGAAAATGTTCTCAAGGTAGATTATTCACAAAAAGATGCATCTCTGTGGTTACTATCACCTGTTTATAATATGTTTCGGTACCTTGCCCGTTGCAGCCCGACATCATGGCTCCAGGAGTAGCCATCTTGGCTGCAATTACGCCCAAGATAGAATCATTCTACGGCGCACCAGGGAATAAACCATCACCATTTGGCATTAAGTCAGGAACATCAATGGCTTGCCCGCATGTCACGGGTGCCATGGCATTCATCAAATCAGTGCACCCCGAGTGGAGCTTCTCCATGATCAAATCTGCATTGATGACAACAGGTGATGTCAGCCACATTTGGCAGTTCGAACATTCATAGTTTCATAGATATATGCATTCAAACTCGTGAAGATTAAGGAAGGATGTCTCTCTGTGACTCTGCAGCCTCCACTGCAGACAACATGGGGGAGCCATTGACAAACACCACAGGGACTGCTGTCGATCCCCACCAAGCTGGTGTTGGAGAAATCCAACCCATCAAAGCTCTCGACCCCGGCTTAGCATTCGAGACAACTGCTGTAGATCACTTCAATTTCCTGTGTTACTATGGCTACAAACAGAAAATCCTAAGATCGATGTTCAACAACAACTTCACCTGCCCCAATAACTTATCATCACCAGCCAAACAGCTCATCTCCAGTATCAACTATCCCACCATTTCCATAGAGAGGCTCAGCCGTCACAATGGACCAAGAAAGGTGAAAAGGGTGGTCACCAATTTAGGATCATCACACATCATTGCTACTTATGTCCCCTCTGTAAATTCTCCTCCTGGCCTGGCAGTTAAGGTTGTCCCTAAGAAGCTTGTCTTCAGACGAGGAATGAGAAAAGCATCTTTCAAGGTTTTCTTTGATGGTAAGAAAGCACACAAGGGATATAACTTTGGAGACATAAGATGGTTCGATGGATCCCACATCGTCCGCGTTGTTTTTGCAGTGAACGTTGTGTGATAGTAAGTTGTGCATCTTTTGGGTTTAAACATGTACAAACATACATACATACATACGTATATTAATAAAGTTTGTACAATAACAAAAGGCCATGTTGACAATTCTTTCAGCATGCAAGTAATGTGTGTCACATTTACACTTTTAATAAAAACACTAAGATTCAGAGCTATTCTGAGTAGTCTAGGATCCTTAAATTCATCAAAACTACATAAACCAAAACCAGCAATGAACAAAGACAAGCCAAAAATCAAAGTGGAACAAACCATACCGGGGAGGGGGGGGGGGGGGGGGGGGAAACAAAGTAGGTGTCCAAAAAGTTCAAAAGAATTCCCCTTTCAAGTTGGAGCTAAGATGTTTGTTTCTGATCCATCAAGTCAAATATTTCGATCAGATCAGATTCCTTTGGGTGATGAATTACCTTGGCGATAATCTGACCCAGCGTTTCAGTGCAACGCATTGCATCCAAAACTTTGTCTTCAGGAACTACCGTGGACCTCTTGTGCTGACATGTTTCTCCATCTATGGGAGAAACTATTAGCTGCGAGATGCGCTGTTTTTTGATTTGCTGAGCATATTGCCTGACCTCCGTTCCAAATGTAAACAGGCGATATACATACACCACCTTCTTTTGGCCAAGCCTGTATGCCCGGCTTATGGCTTGCTTTTCAACTGAAGGGTTCCAGACAGTATCAAGCAGTACAAGTCTTGAAGCCCCAACTAAACTTATCCCCTCAGAACATGCTCTTTCTGAGGCAAAAAGCACCTTCGCCTCACTCTTTTCACTGTTAAAAGACAGTATGGATTCTTGCCGCTGCTTTTCATCAAGTTGGCCATCCATGTACAGCACCTCTCTTCCTTCAATCCAAGAAAAACAAGATATGATCTGCTTTTTGAGGTATATGAGAGGATCAATAAACAGACTGAATACCAGAACTCTCTCCTTAAGTGCATCAGCTAGCCGTATCAATTGCACAACAAAGTTTGCCTTGACTCCAGCATTGACATTGTTTTCAATGCTTTCTAACTCACTCTTATACATGGAGAACCTACTCATTTTCATTACCAGTGAAGGGTGTACGGATACCAGGGACACAGACTGAACCCGTATAAATAGCTGTTCTTGGCTAGCAATTTCCAGTAGGATCTTTTGCTTTTCTGTCGGATGCAAGATCACCAGACACTCACTCAGTCCAGGAAGTCTTTCCTCTAGTATGTTTCCTTTATAGACATCTATAAAAGGAACAAGCATTTCTTTAAGCTTCATCAGCCTGTCATTGTCATCTCTTCCAATAGAACTAGTCCATCCTTTTCTAGCCTCATCTCTTCTTGGCCAACAGCTCAAATCATGCCAGGGTCCTATTTGATTGACCGATTTGGGGTTAACAAGGCACAGTGTGTTGTACAGCTCCATTAGATTGTTCTGGAAAGGTGTACCGGACAAGATAATGCGCCTATGAGTTGCAACTTTCATCAGAGCATTCCATACTCGACTTACTTTGCTGCGAGGGGTGTGGCCTTCATCAAGCACTAAGAGATCTGGAGAGTACAGTAGTGATTCTCTGATACATTCAATAGATCCTTTTCTGTTTTCTCCGCCAAGCTTCTCAAACAGTTGGTAACTCATTCCCAAAATGCTTCCACCCCTCTTCCACAAGTACAATTTCAACAGCCGAATATTGTCCCTGCTCATCACTCTGCCTCCATTTTCCCCCATAATGTTCACTGCTAGTGCATTTTCATCACCAGATAGTTCCTTTGCATTTAGATTTCGAAATGGTACCTTCACTTGCCATTTATCAAATTCGGCTTCCCAAGTTAGAAGCATGCCTCTAGGAGCTATGATCACAGGGCGGCAGGTAGGATACAACTTCAAGAATGACAGGAGAAACATTATAGTCAGTCGAGTCTTGCCAGTACCCGGGGCATGTGAAATTATGCATCCTCTCCCTTCACTAGAAAGAGGCTGTTGCTTCAGCTTATCAATCCAGATATCACCTGCTAGGTTGTTCCACATAAATTCAAAGGCTTTTCTTTGGTGCGGGTACATATCCTTTTCGACACCAGCAATCAAATCCCAAACAGTGCCTTCGACATGATTAATGCAATCAGGACTTCCACCGGCATCATCCTGATACCAAGATTGACTGAAGATGGAGCATGTGTTTTTATCAACAATTGCTCTGTTTCGTCTCCTCGGATGCAGTATATGCTGCATAAGATTACAGACACAATAAACCAATGTAAGTCAAATAAAGAAGACAACAGGAAAATGATTGTCAAAATGAAATTGAAATTCCAGCAATTAACAGCATAAAACTATCATGTCCCAAACCTAGACATAATTATTCAAGACAATCAAATAGTTATCACTCAACCAACAAAAGAAACTAGTGATACAGATCATGTCTACATGAATGTCCATAGGCAGATTCAGTGTAGGCAGAAAAATGTTGATAGCAATGGCTACAGTTCAAGCAACCCACACGGTGAAACCACTCTACCCAAGATTTCAAGCGAAAATTCAACCAAAAATATCAATTTGCAGGAATACCTTCCTAGGATGTACTTTTCAATATTAACATAGAACTAGAAAAGCTATTGTACTTACAAAATCAGGTAAAACGTGCTTGATTCTCAGTATAACCTCACTACAATGTTCACAGATGTATCCAATTTGCTCATCAAGAATAAGCGAATGCTTCCCCTGGCGACAAAAAACTGCAGGACTGTGGTCAGAACCTGAGGATTCCGAATCTTCCTTTTTCTGAGGAATGGAAAATAGATATAAGTTTTTATGTGAGACAAGATGCACATAATAAGCTACAAATAAGGATTAAGATATGCAAAAAGAAGTGATCAAAGAACAAAATTGCATCAACCACATATACTGGCAAGTTAAATACCAGCTCTCATATTGTTCACCAACAAAAACAAGTTATTAATTTCACAAGCATCGATGCCAGAAGTGGAAGAGATAAGAATATAAGGTGCAATTTATCTTGACACCTCATCTTCTGTATACTCCATAATTCCGGAAAAGATGAAATTTCAAGGTTATTTTAATTTTTACAAAGAAATTTTCAAATGCCCACAAATGTTGTATAAGAAAGAAAGCATAACAGATATGAATTACCATCCAAATCAACATGCCAGGGAACATGTATAGATCATTCTACAACGAGTTCATTTCCAACATAAAAAAAAAAAATTAATTATGCTACATTGGAAGTCATTATACACACACTATGCCATCCATGTAATTAGTGTCAGAATTCAAGTGCCGGTAATCACACATTGAAGTGTGCAGCATAGCTTTGTTCATTACTTATGTATCATATTCGAAAGTTTCACACGAGCAGACGAATGATTTTATGAAACTAAAGTGAAGTCTACGGCGGTGGAGAAATCCAAATCCCGATTATCGGCTAAAGATCACATAACAAAAAGTAAATGTACCACGGAAGAACTAGCAGTAATGTCTATCTCAGATGCACGAAGATCCAATTCAAAATCACAGAAGATTGAATCAATCTCCATCTCCCGTTCTGATTTGGCAGGGGGTGGCTGCACCTCCTCCTCAAATCTAAATTTCAATGGAAGTCCTCCATGATCTAGGATAGGATTCTTCAGAGACTTTAACAGAAAAAATTTCAATTTTGTATCATAATTTTGCCCTTGCCACATCTTGTTCTTCGACAGCTTCATCTTTTTCATCAAGTATTTCTTCCAGAGAGTACCAATGTCATTAATATCTCCCAAAGGATCAAAGCAACCTTTTTCTGAGACGGGGAAATCAATATCTTCAAGATCACGTTCATTCCTTTGATACTTATGATCTTTGCAAGAATGAGATGGATTCTCCCTGCGTATTTCCCCTTTATCATGACTCCCATCACCATTCCCTAATCCAGAACATGTTCTTCTTTTCTTTAGACCACTTCCATTTCCATTATCATCGGCCTTCTTCCTTATCCTAGGGAGGTCGGTGCTACCTTCAGATTTGCTTGCCTTATCAGCAGACTCATGATTTGATTCAGCCAATGCACCCCTTTTCTTCTTATCCTTTCCTTCATGTTTGGCATCCACAATCTCATCATCTTCACTAATAATTACAATGTCCTCGTTCGTATAACCTCTTGTTTCCTTACGACCACTAATTCTTGTACTCGGGAATACACCAGGAGATTCACCATTTTCATCGCCATCGATATGATTCTTTTGTTTCTTCTCATTCTTTACCATGAAATTCGATTTTACCATCTTCACAGAACTATAATTTCCACTGTAAGAATCTTCAGAATCATCACCAGAAGTAAATAGCTCATTGTCAGATCCTTCGTAATCCTCGTCGGAAGAGCTATTTTCTTCGACCGTCTCCTCGCCGTCACATTTCGCCTTTTCCGAATCCACCGTATCATCTCCGACAGCAGACTCGGTCGCACTCACACCTCTTCCGCCATTAACACCTCTTGGTCTCTTCCCTTTTACCTCGTAGTACCAATTCAGGTAAAACTCCGCCCATTCACTTCTGGTTCGTGGCCTAGACAGAGCACGAGCATGCATTTCTGCGGCAAACAGTACAAAACAAAACGATGATTCGGTCGAGGCTAACAAGAATCAATCTAAACATTCAACCACTCGAAATACATTTCTGCTGCAAACAAAAACGATCATTTCAGTTGAAGTAGCGAAAACCGATTAAACAAAACCCATTGCCGCGAAGATAAAGTAAACAGGGAAAAGAAAAGGGGGGAGGGGGGCAGCTATGGAACTGAGCACGACGTCGAAGAGTGGTTGGGCAGACGAATCGGCACAAGTACCGGCAGAGGCTGATGCTGCTGCTGCTGCTGCTGCATGATCAAGGACGCACGGGATGGATTCTGATTGGATCGTACATGCACGCGCTGCGGCTGGTAAAATACAGATTCTAATTTTGGCGCGTGACCTTGATCACGCAGCGCATACTCATACTTTCAGTTACCGATTCTTTAATACTCGAAAAGGCGAGGGCTAAACTAATTATTACAAGGATTTTCACTCTATTTTTGTATATTATTAATTATTTTTAGTCTGTTCCGTAACATATACTTTTATATTTTTAGAAAATTTACTAAATAAAAAAATAATTAATAAATATAAATTAATTTAATTAATTGTTCTAATTATTATAAGGATTTTCACTTTATTTTTATATATTACTATTTATTTTTAGTCTATTCCATAACAGACATTTTTATATTTTTAAAAAATTTACTAAATAAAAAAATAATTAATAAATATAAATTAATTTAATTAACTGTTCCATCCGTCCTAATGTAATAATTTTGTTTACAAGATCCAACTTTGATGATATAGCACGTCTTCGTGCCGAAAAAAATTAAATGAATTTTTCAAAATATAAGCTTACTTGATTATATGCATTGTCAATAGGATGCATATCAAATTGTATAGCAGTCAATGTAACAAACACTATATTTATTATACTCCCTCCTCTCATTGAAAAGTCACAATTTTTTATTTTTATCCCTCCAAGGTTATCATTTCTTAATTTAGTAATTGTACTAACTAGTTAACATAATAAATATCCTTTCAACTTATCATATATTACACAAATATCATTACTTTAATATTACACCATACTAATAGGGATATTTTCGTCTTTTTTACTGCAATCCAATATAATACTAATATTAAAAAATCTATTTGCAAAAAATAAATGCCACCTTTCTAATGGGACGGAAGGAGTACATTATTTTTGGAGGTTGTTTGTAACATTCCGGTCGGCTCACGCCGGAATATTACCGCCATATTGAACTAAGGGGTCAGTTTTTATCAAACCGCCTAATGCAATGCTAATGCTTATATAGTATAAATAATTTTTTTTTCAATTTCAAATACTGAACTAAAATTGGTTTTTACACTTTTCAATTTCAATTCTTATGTTTTTGAAATCGAAGTTGTCGGTTCGAATCGAAACTTGCAGTTTAATATTTATTTATTTATTTATTTAAAAAATAAATATATCTAAATTTTATCAGAACAGTAGAGAAGTATAAAGAACTAAAAAATATTGATGCATCAATCGACACGAAAAGAAAATAGTGCAATTGACACAAAGAGAAGAAAAAAACACGTGCACAAAAGCAATAACACGAGCAACAACTGTCACGAGCGACAACTGATTAAGTTAGAAGAATGAGAGGCTGCCTATTGTGATTAGACTTGTTCCTCCAAATTTATAAGTTATAATACATATGTATAAAGTATTACATTCATATAAAACAAAGTATAAATAAATATATATTATATATTATTAATAATGTATAATAATTATGGATAATACTTCTTTACATATATATTAATATTTTTAATTTTATATATTTTATTATATAATCATTTGATATATTAATTTTTGTAATGGGTTAATCTTATTATATGGGTATATATATTATTAATTTAACAAACATAAATGTGAAGTGACAATGATATATAATGGATATATGGAGAGGGATGAATAAGCCAATTGACTTGGGTTCAAATTTTTTTATATATTTTTTAATTAAATTTATTTATATAGAGTATATATTTTTTATATAAGAGAAAATATGAATTGAATTAAAATTTTAATTAAAAATATATTTTTTAAAAAAATTTGGTATAATTTGGTATTATATTTATTGACTTGGGTTCAAATTTTTTTCATATATTTTTTAATTAAATTTATTTATATAGAATATATATTTTTTATATAAGAGAAAATATGAATTGAATTAAAATTTTAATTAAAACTATATTTTTTAAAAAAATTTGGTATAATTTGCTATTATATTTTATTTTTTTGAAATTATTTGGTTCATTTTTTAAAATGAATTGATTTTTTGATCTGTATCAAAAATATAAAATATATTATTTTAAGTTAGAATATTTTACCTTTTGTAATAAGTATTTAAAGTTTATGTTTGTTTGGATGTTTGAATTTTGAGTTGGGATTTGAATAGTAAAATTTTTGAATTTGAATAGTTGTATGATGTGATATAAATAGGTGTTGACGTGATGTTTTGAATGTAAAATTGATTTTTAATATAATATAAAAAATTAAAAATAGGTATTTGATTTGATGTTTTGGGGGGAATTGGACAAATAGTAAAAAAAATCCAATCCCTCGAACAAACACACCCTTAAAAGATTTTTTAAAATGTTTTGATTAAATATCTCTACATTTTAAGACTTTTAGAAGTTTCCATCTAATACTTTCAATCACAATTCACAATCCTTCCCAAACCTATGAGGGGGTATGTTTGGTACAGAACAATGAAAATAATCTTATTTCTCTTGTTTATTTGAGTTAGAGAAATAAAATTTGAGTTTTTTTGTTTTTATTTCTCTCTCATGTGCACATAATAAAGAGAAATGATAATACAGTATATATATATATTTAACTTTTTTTTTACTATTTAATTTTTATAATTTTTTAAAATTATATTATACAATTTTACAAAAATCAAATTTAATTTATTGTTGAGGTATTTAATTTTTACTATTTTTAAAAAATTATACTAAACTGTAATCTTTAAAAAATTATATATAATTTATAATTCTTTTTAAAAAAATCACAAAAAATACTTTTTCATAAATTCTTAATCGTTAAATTTTTATTTTTGGAATTAATCATTTATTTTTTATATTTGTAACTAAACTTTTTATTTTACAAAATAAATAAAAAAATTAATTCTCATTCTATTTCTCTTCGTTTTCATTAGCGGGTCTTGGGTACCAAATGCTCCGTAAGGCCCTGCCCTACACTACACTACACTACAAACAGGCTACTGCGCACAAGCAGCATTGGTCAGACCGATCAGTCAACCCGGTCCGGTCTGACCATACATACCGGGCTTAGGGTTCTCTCGAATTGGCCCAAAACAAATATCGATCTAACCCGGCCCGGGATAGATGACGGCCCAGTCTGGCGTGGTCGGCTTAGCTCCACCGTCGAAGTTGAACTTCCAGTACCAGAGAGGAGGAGGAAGGGAAACCCTCTTTCCATTGGAAAAGCAAGCAAACCACCCTCGAACTGGTAGGTTCGATTCGTGCACTTCTCCACTTTTGTGTGTACTGGCAGAATTCACTTCCGCGCATACGGTTTCTTGCTCTATTGCTTCGTATATTTGTGTGTACGGCGTATTTGAATAATAGTCGAAAGCAATTAACCAAAAATTTGTAGACCTGCTGCTCCCGTTGCTCGTCAATGAAAGAAAAGTGAACAGATTGTTCTTGAGAATGGTAAGCTTTAGCATATTCGTTTGTCTCGACAGTGCTTTCTTCGTCCTTTCGTGAAAATTTTCAAGTTATATTGCTGCGTGGTTGTTTTCTGCTAGGATTTGTTCAGGAAAGCGATTTTACATCCGGGGCATCCTCAGGAATTCGCTCTTCAGACTGTGCAACAAGCTATAAGACCCCAGGTTTGCTTGCTATTGCCTATATTTGGACACGAAATTTGGATACTGTGGAATTCTTTTTCACTTGTGAGGTTCCGAAGTTTAAGTGCAACTTCTAAAGGGAGAATTCTTGTTTCTTATGGTATTTATAGAGGAGATTTTTTCTGCTTTATATATTTGCACATTTTCTGGGTTTGTTCCTCTGGCTAAACCTACGAGTTCATTGTCTCTCCAGAAACAAGTTAAACTTGTACAAGATGAAAATCAATTGTTGGAGAACATTCTGCGAACTTTGCTTCAGGAGCTGGTGGTAATTTTTATGCTGCTTTATTATGTGCTTATAGTTTTTTGTGCTGGCATTCAGAAGCATCGTTGATGTAGATGAATTTCTAGTTGGTAATGCGTGGTGATGCATTGGTATTTGGTGTTTTGTTAACGCTAAGTTTGGCTTACTATAATAGCTGCATGAACCTTACCTAAGACAGCAGCTGCAATTAATTTCCTGGAAATTCGACCACTGTTCACTCTGTAAATAACTGAGTTTGAAAACTAAGTTCACTATTTATTTTCATCACATCTTCATCTTGGAATGCCAGAGGTTGTGAGCATGCTTGAACTTGTAGAATGTATTTTCAAGATAGCATAGCTGATGCCTACTGCTTTAATTTCTTCTGTTGGGGTTTTGGGTTAATTGTATATTGGAGCTGTTCACATGGTGGATATGTTGGTAGATTGACTGTTTGTTTCCAATTATAATAACTTATTAATTTTGTTTTCTTGTAGTCAGCTGCTGTTCAGTCAGGTGAGGCAATCATGAAATATGGTGAATCAATAGCTGACAGTGATATTTATCTCGGTCAGATTCCTCGTCTTCTTGGTGAGTGCAAAAATGTAATATGCATTGTACCGTTTACATTTCTTTTATGGTTTGTGAGAAGAATTTTTTTTTTTTATCTTAAATACTTTTTGTCTGCATTACTATAACTAATTATATTTTAAATTATGGGTTGCTGTGATGAATTCTATGGGATGACCGTCCTACATAAATATATCCTCTAGAGACATTAGCCTCTTTACTTGGAATTGTTCCAGTTTAATTAGAACAAATGTACAGTACCTAGTAATGACAGTACTAGACTAAACTACCACCATAAACAGTTGAGTAAGACTATCTAAATGGAGACCATTTGCTTCTTCATCTTTGCTTGAGAATGTAAAAAATATTTGGAGGTTTGTTGGTAGAATTTATATGTTTAACTGAAGTTGTGAAGGAGGAAATATTGATAATCAGTTGAACAAAAATAAATGCACTGAAAATATTGAATTAATGAAGCTCACGTTATTGGTTACAATATGCTGTGCTAGATCTCTTTTAATTCATATTATGTCTGCTTGCTTAAAAAAAGAACTTTATAGGGCTAGATAATTTGTGTCATTTGATGCTGTGTAGACTGTAGCCTTTGATGTTTATTGTCAAACCTAAAAACATATTTTTTTACAACGAAGAAATTGTCCTTATAGTTCCGTACAGTAATTATTATGCTTCTTTTTAATAAATTTCTATTTACAAATGGTGTATTGTGTTAAGTGTTAGTTTATTCTTTTATTTTCTTATGTTTCTTGAATTTTATTTTAACCATATATTTTACTGTTGCCTTCTTTTGCAGACATTGTTTTGTACTTGTGCGAGAAAGAGCATATTGAAGGTGGAATGATTTTTCAGCTTTTAGAGGATTTGACAGAAATGTCTACCATGAGAAACTGTGAAGATATTTTTGGGTATATAGAGAGCAAACAGGACATTCTTGGGAAGGTGGGTACCTTGTGATTGTGTTATTGCTTGTGTGGTGTTTATCAGTTATCTTGGACGCGCTTTATACTTTTCTATATGACACCTAATCTATCATTATATGCTTTACATAGCCAGAACTTTTCGCCAGAGGGAAGCTCGTGATGCTTAGAACATGCAATCAACTTCTTCGCCGTCTATCGAAGGTTCAGTTTCTTGAATGATTGATTTCTCGTATCTTGTATAGTTGCTCTGAACTCCCTTGTATCTGTTCTTAATTTTACGATCGTATTTGCCTCATGATTTTATAAGATCCAGAGTTAGTTTGGTTAGTTCATTTCTTTGGCTTGTATCATCAAGTGCTTCTCCATTCCTAAGAACTCAGATGCCTTGTATATGTGTTTTTCCTTGCTCTAGCATAAATAGAAGTTCCGGTAGTCCAACTTTTGTAGTTCTTTGGCACCTTGCTTTATCCTCCGATTTATGAAAGGTAACCTCAGATCTTGAGTTTCCTGAGCTATTAAAGACAACTTGCAGATTAAAAAGGTTAATTTACATTGTGTAAAACACTCATTACTCGTGGTTTGTGGTTTTCTTTATTTTACTAACTCTTCTTTCTGGGGATTGAGTTGCTTTACATGCACTGCTTAGTTTCGGAATCAATAGATAATGCACGTTGGAATAGTCAGGAAGTGCAATCCAATTGGCTATGGTATTTGAATGATTAGCCTCTTAGACCAAAACTTTTCACATCCCATTGGTGATCAGTTAAATCCTACAGAAGCTAATATATCATTATACAACATAAAAAATCCAACTTCATTATAAAGGAGTGCTCCCAAATGACATAACATCACTTTCTTTGGTGGAACTGATTTGACATAGACTTAAAAAATGTGTAATAGTGAGTCACACCTTGATTTCCAAAACGACATTGACTTCATTCTATTAACTCATTGCAGCAGTTCTGCTTACGGTTATGATACTGAGAATCTGTGACTGTGTATGTTTAATATTTTCTGTTCTAACATAGATAATGCGCTGAAGTAGCAGTGTGTAAACATGTATGGTTTTAGGGTGCTGAAGGTTAAAACTGGGTGTGTTTGTTTGGGGATTGAATTTTGGGTTGATATTTGAATAGTAAAAATTTTGAATTTGAATAGTTGTATGATGTGATATAAATAGGTTTTGATATGATGTTTTGAATGTAAAGTTGATTTTAGTATAATATGAAAAATAAAAAATAAGTTTGATGTTTTTGAAGGGGGAAAAGTTGGTGAATAGTGGAAAATTTTCAAAATCTTTTAAAAGAATACACCCTTAGTATGTTTGAATTGGGTAATATTTTGCTATCTGTGATTGCACTTCCTTTACTGTCCTTCTAGTGTCCTATGGCATGTGAGCTTCCTGACAGTGATGCCTAGCCAATTATGCTAATTACATTATTTGCATAACTCATCCATCTCATATTTCTCTTCCAAATAGAAAATTTCATTCTATTGGTTTTCGACTTTAATCCTATTCATCATACAAAGATACTTCACTATTCAATTAAAGGACTCATTAATAGTTCTCATAAGATATGGTGTGTTTGTTTTCTTATCTTTTATTGAGCACTCAATTCTAAAGTTTCATAGCTCTCAATCTAAAGTTTCATATCTACTTTGATTGATAGTTTAACAAAGGTTGTATCTCATCCAAAAGTTTGGAATTCTAGTAGTTAAAAGAATGTAAATTTTGAAATACTTGTTTGCTTATGATGTGGTGTTGCAGGCAAATGATGTTGTATTTTGCGGTCGAATCATAATGTTCCTTGCTCACTTTTTCCCTTTATCCGAGCGTTCTGGTAACTCTTCTTTTTTTTTTTGTTTTGTTTTGTTCCTGTTTATTTAACAGTGGATCCGTTTTCTGTCCTGCATTTTGCTAGCATTTGACATTCCTTTCAATCATTTTGACAGCTGTCAATATCAAAGGAGTTTTCAATACGTCAAATGAAACCGAATATGAAAAAGAACCCCCAGAGGGTACTTATGCTGTATCCTACTTTCCTATTTCTTTTCCTTAATCTGCTCATGAAGTTAAGTTAATTTTGCTAACACATCATCCGATTGACTTTTTTGCTTTCAGGCAGTTCTATAGATTTCAACTTCTATAAAACCTTTTGGAGTTTACAGGTCAGTAGAGGAGAGGGAATCTATACATGGGTCAAAACATTTTTGGAATTTTCACATTGTATTAAGTTTATCAATATATCTTCAGTTTTCAAATACGCCGGCAATATAAATTAGTTTTTGTTCCATCTACTTTTATTTTGAAGACTTGCTCTCTAAATAATTGAATAGCTTGTTGCCTCGTGATAATGAATGAACATGAAATGAAGAGTTATCAACTCCAGGAATTTAGGGTGGAGACTGAATTCAGTAATTCAGTGATTTTTAGTATAATACAAAAAATGAAAAATAGGTGTTTGATTTGATATTTTTGAGGGGAAAAATGGGATGAATAGTGGAAATCTAATCCAATCCCCCAAACAAACACACCCCTATAGGATTATGAAACCCTCCCTAGATGATATAAACCCATATTGTTTCTCTGACCCCTCTGTGATATATCTGAAGTTGAGATCTTAATAATTGGTTAAGTTCCTTTTTTGTTTATTTTTTTCCACAAATGATGTTCCAGGGTCTCAAAAATTTAGTTAGCCAGTGCCTCACTTATGTTTGATGTTACAGGAATTCTTTTCCAATCCTTCGTCCCTTATTCCCGCAATTACAAAGTGGCATAAGTTTACTTCCAGTTTAACGGTAAAATTTCTGTTCATAACCTGTATGGATAACTTTTATCACATGTTAATCTACTAATTGCTCTTTTTACTATCATTATGTTTTTAGGTTGTACTGAATACATTTGAGGCTCAGCCTTTGAGTGATGAAGATGGCAATGCCATTAACCTTGAGGATGAGGCATCAAGTTTCAGTATAAAATATCTGACTAGCAGTAATCTAATGGGTCTCGAGGTACTAACTACTAACACAAATAGCAGTTTCTTTCAAGCAACTTATCTTGACTATAAGCATGTTCAATTTCCTGTGTCATGTCTTGCAGTTAAAGGATCCAAGTTTTCGGCGGCACATTTTGGTTCAGTGCCTTATTTTGTTTGATTATCTGAAGGTAATTTTATATGTGAAATTTGTATTATTTACCTCGAATAAATACTTTTTGACCTACCATAACTTGCAAAAAGCTTCTATCGAATATTGGAGTAAAAAGATTGCAAAATTTTCTTGAAACCCATTTTTAAAAATGATTGATTATTTCTCTAGTGAGATGCAGTGTTGATGTAGCTGTTTAATGCATCACAAATCTTTCTACATTCCTCAATGACTGCTAAATATCGTTTTTATTTTTATTTTTTTTTGTGTGTATTTTGTTGATGAAAAAACATACAGATTTTTTTGAATAGCAAAAATTGTAGATGTTATTAAATTGTGTTCCAAAAGTTTATCTACAATGTAAATCAAGTTAAGATAAGAATATTGGTCAATGTAGGGCAACAAATAATTATCTTTTTTTTTTTATTTTTTATTATCTAATCAGAATATTTAATTAGTTTTCCATATCCTAGTTTAATTTCAAATATATGTAATTGTGAAAGGTCAGAGGATCTTACCAATTTCAAGTTCATTTTATTATTTATTTTTTAAAATTCCAATTCACTTATAATCCTATTGTAATAAAGACTACTAGCTATCTTCTGTAGGCCCCTGGGAAAAATGACAAAGACTTGCCATCAGAGACAATGGTTAGTTTTGTACTTTTATTCTTATAATTTCTGACAAACTGTTTTTAAAACTAAGCATGCTTGTTTTTATCCAATTTTGGGGGTATTTGGAGAGTTAAAACACATGTTTGATGAAAATATCATTGTTTACTATCTCATGATATAAGTTGTTTTGAATACAATGACTTATTTTGATTATGCTCTTGTGTGCTCCCTTTGTTTTTTGTTCTTTTGTTTTTTGTTTATATATATATATATAATTATTCAATCTTCTATTCTACCAAAACATGTAACACATGTTTTTCATACATAACACCATATTTAACAACTATTTTCACCACAAAAATATCAAAACAACAGAACAAAAAAAAAAAAGATAAAACAACACACTTATTTATTAATTTATTTCTCTAGATTTAAAATTGGCAATTTTGCAGTATTATGTTAAAATATATTTGAATAAATATTAAAAAAAAGCCATTGTAATTCTGTTTATTAAAATTATTACTATATTGTTTCCATTACATTGTACTTTAATTGTAAAATTGACTAAATTTTATATTTTGTTATTTATATATGTATTTTCACAAATGCTGATTTGTTATTTAATTTCAATAAAATTTTGAAAAATTTTAGATTATATATCTTTATAACAATATCTATTAATTTTATAGTACTATGTGAATTTTAGTCATTATAATAGTATACATTTTTTTTTTTTATTACTGTTTTTTAAACACATGCACGTGCTTAACCAAATGTTCATGTGATTTATGTGTAAAATAGTAGTAGGGCAACTTATAAAATGTTTAAACTAAGTTCTTTCGAATGGGTTCCTACATAACTATGCACATTGAAATCATGTCTTGCTTTCTTTTGCTCTTTGTATTTGTTCAATGTTCAATGTTCATAGTGATGTATAATTAAAATAACATGCATGATTGCTGATTTGACAGAAGAATTGATTTTCTATCAACCTTTTCAGTTATCACACTTCACTTATTTAAACATTTTTATATAGTTGACAAAAACTGTAGAGTTGCTGTCAAATTTTCTGAACCAAGATAATAAGAATGGAAAGAAAGAAAGTCTTAAGGGTGTGTTTGTTTGTGGGATTTTAGGTTGGGTTTTACTATTCTAGAATTTCTTCCCTGAAAAACATCAAATTAAACACATAATTTTCATCTATATATTACACTAAAATTTAATTTTACATTCGAAACATCACATAAACACGTATTTATATCACATCAAACAACAATTTTAATTCAAAATTTTACTATTCAAAACCCAAACCCCACTAACAAACACACTTGGTTATTATTTTTCATGTTTGTTGAAAATGCTCTATCAGAGTAGCCTTAATCTTCTGTCCTAGAAAGTAATATGATATTTTGTGATTGAAGAAAGAAGAGATAAAATCCTGTGAAGAACGGGTGAAGAAACTTCTGGAAATGATACCTCCTAAAGGGAAAGAGTTTCTTCGTAGCATTGAGCATATCTTGGAGCGTGAAAGAAATTGGGTGGGCATTATAAACCCTTCATTTGTATATCTCTAACTGATTACATTCTTCTAGTTGCTAAGGATCCTTTTTCTCTTTTAAAGGTCTGGTGGAAGCGTGATGGTTGCCCCCCATTTGAAAGACAACCAATTGATAAAAAGTTAGTTCAAGATGGAAACAGAAAACGGTATGACTGAATATGTAAAAATGAAAGGAAACCAATTGTGTTTGTGTGAGTTAAAAATTACCGTATTATAGAAATGAAAGTCACCAACTAAAATAATATTTATCTCTTCTATATTAGTGAGATTTTAGGATTAATTGCTTAGGTTTCAGTGCTCCATGTCCATTTATGTTGTGTCGTAGCATTTTGCTAGATGTATATTCCGTGGCTTATAAAGTTCGCTTGGGTATGAGAAACATGTTCTGTCTAAGTGAGTTTTAAAGATTATTTAGTATCATTAAGAGTTAAGGAGTTCTATGCATCTGATTTACTAATGTTACCTGGATTTTTATATTGAGTACATTTCATGGTGTACATGAGGTACCATCTTACACCAGAAAAATGTTTTGTTCTTAGCATGTTTAACAGAAGATCAAAGTATTATGTACTTTGATTTCAAAATTGCTATGCTATATTTTTTATGATCAGATGTTTTATTGTTGTCCCTTAGATATGTATTGTTACAGCAAGTTACTATATGGCTGAATTCTATTTTTATTTACATGTTCCCTCATTCTTTTCCTTCTGTAATCTTGTAGTCGACCTCGTTGGAGGCTCGGGAATAAAGAACTTTCTCAGCTATGGAAATGGGCAGATCAGAATCCGGTGTGTTCCCAAACTCATATTGTTTTGAAAAATTTGAAGATTTAAAAGTTTATCAAGTTAGTTTATATGCAAAGACAAGCATGGAAGCAGAGTGTTCAACTCTTTTTTGCCCAGTCCATTTGGCTTTGGTTTTTAAGACAAATTTTCCTCATTCCCAAATATTGAGTACCATAAGCACACAAGGGAGACATCCCAACAGCAAGAGATGGATTAGTTTTGTACTCCTTTCCTTTCTCTACTGAGGAACTGCATTTTGGTTTTAAGCATCAAAGTTGTGGGGTGGAAGAATGCACCAGGGTTACTATTGCTAGCACAAGTTTGTATCTACTATTACCTAAAAATGATAAGACTGAACAAAGCGAAGAAATTAGCTGTCAGTTGTGGAAAAAGGTGCAAGTTTAGCAATGATGCACAACAATTTGAGTCTTTAGTGCTGCTGCATGGGTGTAACTGTATAGGCATCAGGGTGTGCCAAGTTTCATGCATGTAAGGCTTTCCGATAGGATTGAGTCATTTTATTTCAAAGGAGTCGTGCCAATGGGTTGGGTAGATACTGTGCAATCTTGTGGGATTGGCGGATGCTTGTTGATGCAATTTCTACTATTGAATTGGTCTGTGAGAAGAAATATGGCCTGTGGGTATATATTGATTATATTCATTTCTAGTATTCATAATTAAACCATTACTTGCACAATCACATACCTGTGTGTGTGTGTGTTTGTGGCAACTAATCATCATTTATATTTTATCATATGATTTGATCATTATATTGCATCATATAGACACAAAACAATATGCTAATATGGATAACAAGAATACACATATTATAGATTCTTCTTTGTACCAACATACACAAGTTATGCCTTAACATATTCTAACCATTGACCTGTGCAACTTAAAATAGAGATCATATTCTTTGAATCTTAGGGTAGTGGGGTTTGTTTCAAGTGAGAGTCTATACTCCTTTTTTCATAGGTAGACAGATTCTCTAATTCTATATTTTACTAATGGCTATTTACTGTGATTTATTCATTGGGTCTTTTCTTCAGAATGCTTTAACAGATCCACAACGTGTTCGTACACCGAGCATTATGGATTACTGGAAACCATTAGCTGAAGATGTGAGATTATGATCCATTTTGGAGTCGCCATCATGCATATACTTTCCTTTTTGTCTGTATAATTGCCGAATAATTGAGTAATTGACAAAATCAGCTTTGATTGTCCACTTATGATTTGATCAACAGATGGATGAGTCTGCAGGGATAGAAGAGGAATACCATCATAAAAACAATCGAGTAAGTTTTACATTTGTTCTTCCCTGCACTTGTATTCCTTACGGATTTTATCTGCATGAGAATCCTACACAATGACCAGCATTGCCTTTTTTATAAATGCAAGTTTCCTTGTGTACAGTCTTAAGAATATTTCTTTTTTAATTATTAATAAATATAGTAGGAAACACCTCCAATTTTTCAGAGTTTTATTGATTATGTTAAAATATTTTGCGGAAACTCTAAAGCTTGCTTCTTGATAATCAAATAAGGGGCCTATATATAGGCAACCTAAAACAAACTCGATAGACTCAAATCTAAATAATGTAATATAATGGATATGACCAAATTTAAATCTAAATCTAACAAATATAAACCTAAATATCTAAAATATCTCAACAACATTATAACTTAGCTATTCTTTGACACTCCCCCTCAAGCTGAGGAATAGATGTCTTCCATTCCTAGCTTGGATACAAGATCATGGAAACTTGAACTGTTCATCCCCTTTGTTAGAACATCGGCTAATTGTCTCTCTGATGGAACATAGGACATACATACTAACCCTTCCTCCAGTTTTTCTTTGATGAAATGTCTATCAATTTCAATATGCTTTGTCCTATCATGTTGTATAGGATTATGAGCTATATTAATAGCTGACTTGTTGTCACAGTAAAGCTTCATAGGACCCTCCCATTTAACTCTCAAATCATCCAAAATGATCCTCAGCCAAAGTAATTCGCATAATCCTTGAGCAATTGCCCTAAATTCTGATTCTACTGATGACCTTGCTTCTACATTCTGCTTCTTGCTCCTCCATGTCACTAGGTTACCTCCAAGAAAAGTACAATACCCTGCGGTTGATCTTCTATCCACTAGGGAGCCAGCATAGTCAGCATTGGTGTAGGCTTCCAAAGTGAGAGTGTCATTCCATTTGAACAAGATTCCTTTCCCTGGATTGCCTTTCAAGTAGTGCAGTACCCTGTAAGCAGCTTGAAGATGAGGTTCTCTTGGGTCATACATGAATTGGCTGATCAAACTTACAGAATATGCTATGTCTGGTCGAGTGTGAGCAAGGTATATAAGTCTGCCAACCAACCTCTGGTACATTCTTTTATCCACAGCTGGTTCTTCTTTAGCTTCTCCCAATTTATAGTTTGGATCTATTGGAGTAGAAATCGGCTTACACCCAATCTTCCCTGTTTCTGCCAATAAATCAAGCACGTACTTTTGTTGAGATATGAAGATCCCTTGTCTGGAATATGCCACCTCAATACCGAGGAAATACTTCAATTTCCCTAGTTCTTTTATTTCAAATTCTTTCATTAGTCTCAGCTTTAATTTATGCTTATCTTTTTCATCATTTCCAGTCATTATGATGTCGTCCACATAGACTAAAAGAGCAGTCACTCCCCCTACAGCTGAATGCTTAATGAAAAGCGTGTGGTCACCTTGGCTTTGTTTGTACCCAAATTCCTCCATGACTTTTGCAAATCTGCCAAATCATGCTCTAGGAGATTGTTTTAACCCATAAAGGGCTTTTTTCAGTTTGCACACCTTGTTACCAGTGTCCCCTTCAAATCCCGGTGGAATGTTCATGTAGATTTCCTCATTTAAGTCACCATGGAGGAATGCGTTCTTAACATCATATTGTAGCAGTTGCCAATTAAAGTGAGCAGCTAATGATAACAAGATTCTTCCTGTGTTCATTTTTGCAACTGGAGCAAATGTTTCTTGATAATCCACCCCATAAGTTTGAGTGTATCATTTGGCTACTAATCTTGCTTTATATCTTTCAAGGGATCCATCAGCCTTGTACTTCAATGTAAAAATCCATTTGCAATCAACAATGTTTTTTCCCTTTGGTTTATCAACGATCTCCCTTGTTTTATTCTTCTCTAATGCATTCATCTCTTCTCTCGTAGCATTCCTCCATTCCCTTTTTGACAATGCCTCAAGACACATTGTGAGGGATGACAATGGTGTTCAAACTCATAATAAAGCCCTTTTGGGCTGGCGATAGGCGCTTAAAAGAGACATAGTGAGATAGAGGATAGAATGGTTGTTCAGGAACGGTCTCTCTCCTTGAATACACCTGAGCAAACTCTGGAAAATTGTGAGTGATGCTGGTTGGAGAAGGAGATGATATGGGTTCAGTGACAGGATCGGGTGACTCAGATGTGACTGGTTCAGAGGACTCAGGTTCAACCGGAACATGAGGAGGGTTTCGTTCTGAGTGACTGCGGGGTGGCACATGCGGAAGGTCAAGGGTTTTAAGTAGTTCGAAAGACTCACAAGTACTATCTTCCATCATTGAAATCTCCCCCTGAAGAGAAGACTTGAAAAAAAGGTCTATTTTCTGTGAAAGTGACACAGAGATGTAAAATTTTTTGGTCAAGGGGTTGTAACATTTGTATCCCTTTTGACTTTTGAGTGGATGAGTAACCGAGGAAAACACATTTGATGGCTCTAGGGTCTAGCTTCCCTCTATGTTGTTTGTGGACATGAACAAAGGCGGTACACCCAAATCCCCTAGGAGTGAGGCCATTTGAGGTTCTAAAGTGAGGGTAAAAGCTACGAAGGGCCTCTATGGGGCTTTTGTTTTCTAACACATGGGAGGGAAGTCTATTTATAATATATGTGGCAGTAAGAACGGCTTTTCCCCAATAGGACTTAGGAACATTCCCTTGAAACAGTAAGGCTCGGGTGGTGTTGAGTAAATGCCTATTCTTTCTTTCAGCTACCCCATTTTGTTGAGATGTCTCCACACATGATGAATCTTGGATAATCCCCTGTGATTGAAAGTAAGGTGAAAGAATCTAATTGAAATAATCTCTAGCATTGACTGTCCTAAAGCTTTTTATATTGACCCAAATTGATTTTGAACCATAGAATGAAAATTAGGTATAACAGTGCTAACATCAGATTTTTGTTTAAGAAGAAAGAGCCATGTGACCCGACGAGTGCAATCATCAATTAAGGACACAAACTAACGAGCCCCAGAAACATTAGGTATAGTGGAAGGACCCCATATGTCACTATGAATCAACTGAAAAGGATGAGAACTTCTCTTATTGCTAATAGGAAAAGATGTACGGATATGTTTTGCCAATTCATAGATGTCACAATGAGATTCAGAAATATCTAATCCTTGGAACAATTGAGGAAACATTATTTTTAAAATCCTGAAAGAAGGATGACCAAGACGTAGGTGATATAGCCAAATGACATCTTTATTCGAGGAACTAAGGAAAGAAGAAGGCAAGATACTCTTAGGTTTTTTAGATGGTTCAAGGTGGTAAAGACCGTTCCTTTCCTTAGCAAGTCCAATCCTCCTCCCCGAGTCCTGGTCTTGAAAAACACAATAAGAAGAGCAAAAAACAGCATAGCATTTAAGATCATGAGTCTAACTTTTGAATGGAAACAAGGCTTGTTGACAGTTTGGGCACATGGAGGACAATTTTAAGCATAAAGCTAGGTGTGATATGTATATCTCCAATCCCTGCAACAGTGGCTAAGGAACCATTGGCCACAACAATTTTTCTATTACTTAGACATGGGGTATAGGTGTGGAAGAGTTGAGATGTGGGGGTCATATGGTCTGTAGTACCGGAGTCCATAATCCAAGAGTTGGTATATAATTTGTCTAAGACATTCGTACACACAGATTTACCTGAAAGAGCCATTGAACATGTTCCAGAAGGCTTCTCAAGAGTCCCCAACAAACTTCTCAATCTCTCAATTTCTTCACTATTGAACCCCCCTATTGCTGGATTTTCCTCAATATTGGGCTGCTCTGCCATATGCGCTTGAGGCCTTTGCTGCTGCCCCCACGGTAGCCCCACTCTCGGCTTGGAGGTTTACCATTCAGCTTCCAACACTTCTCCCTTGTATGCCTGGTTTTCTTGCAATAAGTACACCAAAGATTGTCTTTATTTTCTTTCCCTTGGTTATCTCTACCAAAGTGTTTAGGCATATCATTATTTCCCTTACATATGGTTTCAGACATAACTTAGTGAAGAAGAAAAGTTCACAGCAATTAAGGCCAGAACAAAACACAGCGATGAAGGCTGCTTGAAGAAGACTACAGAACCCTGGAAAAATTCCTAGAGCTCTGATACCATGTTAAAATATTTTGCGGAAACTCTAAAGCTTACTCTTTTATAATCAAAATAAGGGGCTTATATATAGGCAACTTAAAACAAACTCGATAGACTCAAATCTAAATAATGTAATCTAATGGATATGACCAAATCTAAATCTAAATCTAACAAATGTAAAACTAAATATCTAAAATATCTCAACAACATTATAACTCAGTTATTCTTTGACAGATTACATTTTTAGAGTTGCAAATTTCCAACTTAACTAATGCCAGGTACCGTTTTCATGATAACATTCAGTAGGATTAAACTATAGTGTGTCGTCGTCAGTATGTAAACATTCAATTCATTGAACAAGTAGTATCAGTCAATATCTTATGCCCACAGCTCTTACTGGTGATCGGTGGTTACTTATTTTTCAAGGGCCAGGACTCTATAAGGGCAAAGATCTTTCTCAACTCTTAACTAAAACCACAATGTTACCCATCGTTGTTAAAAAAAATAAATAATGTTGCCCACCATTATTTCATTTGCCAGAATAATGCTTCTCGTATAGTATTTTGTTGTCTCCTGCTGGGTACATATTTTTAAACTAGATATAGTTTGTGCTAATATTCTCTTGTGCAAGCATTTTTTCTCAATGTGATCAATAACTACCATTTCTTAATTCTTTTCCAAAATGAAGGGTTTATTTTTGGTCTTAGATTATAATTACCACTATTTAGTTTGCACAATTTCTAGTAACATTATACGTCCCAACTTTGTTGTCCATGTTACTATTGATACAATAATTTAGGTTAAGTATAATTAGTAATTAAGAAATGTATTAATAAAAATAATTATTGTATAATAAAAATAATTATAAATTTAAATTAAAATAACTAAATAATTAATTAAGATTAAGAAAATTATAAAATATAAAATTTAAAATGTGATTAAAGTGTATACTTATATTTTCAAAAAAAAAAGACATTATGTGGACCGGACTGAAATGGAAAAAGTGGACATTTTATGTAGGACAGAGAGAATACTCTTTTCTCTCATAAAATATCAATTCAAAATATATTTAGATAAAACAAAACTCAAACCAAAACCAAACAAATCCAAAATTGTTTGGATTTCTTTCATTAACTGAAGGTTTGGTTGGCAATCCACCATCTCTTGCAGTCAAACTCTGCAGTTACCTGTGTCAATAACTAGAGTTTGATCCTAGTAGCAGTCTATAGGGCCATATTTTTCTGTTTACAGTAGTAACACTATAATGCCCTTAACCACTTGTATTTACGTTGCTATAAAATGCAGCTTGCTTATTTGTTTGGTTTGTCTTTCCTATTTATATGATCCTTACTGTGAAAAGTGTGTTTTGGTGCTTGGGAAATTATGGTGCAGGTCTATTGCTGGAAAGGTTTAAGATTCTCTGCTCGGCAAGATTTGGAAGGATTTTCGAGGGTATGTGTATCTAAATTATAAATGACATTTATATCAAATGATTTCCCAGGGTATGTGATGTGCATCTAAATTCTGTCTTGAAATGACATTTATAACTTCATTTCAAACTCTCATTGCAGTTCACTGAACATGGCATTGAGGGTGTCGTTCCTTTTGAACTTTTGCCGCCCGAGGTGCGGTGTAAATATCAAGCTAAACCAGGAGATCGATCCAAACGTGCCAAGAAGGAAGACACTAAAGGTTCTGTGCAGCAAGTGGAGGAATCTCAGGTATTTGAAATCATTTCAGATTTCGAAATACATTATGTATGTATGTGTATATGTAAGCACTGATCATTCATTTTGCTCTTTGGGAACATCACAAGAATCTGCATAATAACCAGTAAATTTCATGGACTGCCGAATTGTTACTTTTAGGAATGCTAATTTTCTGTTCAAAAACTTGCTTTGCCCCCACACACTGCATCTGATATCTAAGCAAAGTAATCACGTTTAGACAAGAGGCTTTTTTGATTGTTTTGGAGTTTCGAAAATTTGAAAATAATAATAAGTTATATTTAATTTGATGTTTTGTAAAAAAAAAATGTATTGATGTGATGTTTTTGAAAAGTTGAATAGTGCCAAAGTTTCCAAAGTTGCTGCATAAATAGAAATCTTGAGCTTTGTGTAGATGTTTAGGCTCCAATGCATTGTCATAATTTGTCGCCGCCAATAATGTGTTTGAAGGCATTCTCTAATTCCAATTGTGGCGATGTGTTCCAATATGTTTGATCACTTTCAGATTGCTACACCCGCAAGTGAGATTGATGTTGATGGAAATAAAATCGACCCTGATGCCTCCGCAGCAGCAGCTCCAGCCGACGCTGATGCTACAGCAGCAGCCTCTGTCAACCTTTCTCAAGGTGGAACCCCAACTCCAGATGAGCATCAGAAGTTGCAGAACTCAGACACTGATGCAGGGGGACTCGAGGCAGGTCAAATTGAAGCAGAACCCGGGATGATCGATGGGGACACTACTGATGCAGATGTCGACTTAGATGTTGTAACATGAGCAGCTGGTACTATATGTTCTACTCAGAAATCAGTTGAGATCTAAGCTGGAGCTGAAGTGGACATACTTCGATGGTAAGTTATCACTTTCCGGGGACCAAAATCGAAACTTGTTGCCCGAGTTGATGTCTCGATAAGACATTTCGAGTAAAAACTTTCTTCGCAGTCACGACATCCTGTTTTCATTGTTTTCTTGGCCTATGCATGCATAAATGAAGTGCAACAAGTTATGTGAACAGCCAAGGCAAGGCAACGCAATGTATTGTGTATGAAACAAGTAATCATAGTTAGTTAAAGAGCCTTCTGACAATGAACAAATATAATGAAACCAAAAAAAAAAAAAAAAGAAAAGAAAAGAAAAATACAAATATTGAGGTTGCCATTTGATTTGACTTGATGCTACAGGGGCTATGATGATTTAGATAGGTGTTCTTGGTAAACATAATGCATGCATGCATGCAAAGTAATCAAACCGTAATTAACCACATTTTTGTATTCAAAATAGTTAAAAGTATTTTGATTCAAAATAAAGCATTAGGCTCAGGAAATGATTCATTTAAATAATAGGGTAAGATTTTTTGAAGGTCTAAAAAAATATTCCACGCAATTTTATGAATAATGTGTATTTTGTATATATGCTTAAGAATTATATATAAATTATTTAGCATCTATTTATTTATGTTTCAATTTTCTTCACATTTTTACGCTAATATTATGGTTGTATAATACCGTCTACATAATAATTGATATTTATTTTTTGTACGTTTAAAAAATATTTAATTTTAATGATAGTAGCATAGCTTTGATGTGAAAAGACAAATAAAACTTTATAGTAATCTTTTTCCTTTTTTTTTGCTTTGCGTGGTGATTCATGGTAATATAATTACTGTTCTTTGAAAAAAAAAAATTAAAATTATAGTGTATAAAAATTAGCAAAATTGCATAATAATAGCAAAAAAATAATTAAAATTACAGTGTACAAAAATTAGCGAAACTGCATAATAATAAAAAGTAATAGTATAATTACAGAATAATTAGAATAATTAGTATAATTAAAATTATATACATAAATTACAAAATTAAAGTTAAAATTACACAATTAAATTTACAGTGTCTGTACATTATAAAAAACAGTACACAAATCTTAATTTATTGTAACATCATTAATTGAGAAGGAAAAATTAGTAGACAACAAGATAAATTAGTAAGCATCGGGATAAATCATCATGACATTATACAATAAAAATCATAGTGAACATAAATAAAAACCAATGCACCAAAAAACCTCAAAAACAGAATTCATTAGATAGTGACATCATTTTGTCACATCATCGGTTGATATTTTTGGCCCAACCCATAAACCAAGCTCAACTCACAACCCAAAACCCTTTAACCTGACCTGGTTCTAAGGATCCGACCCGACCCGTGTCTTATAACTCCCATTTCCATTTTCATTTGGTAAAGTGTGTATCGCGGTTGATTCTGGTTTTATCTCTGGTTCATCTTCTTCGCCGTTTTTCTCAATAAGTTTGGAGGTTTTCTTATTCGCCGAAATTGCAATCGTTCTAGTTCGATACATTTGGTAAGTTGTTCATTTGGGTGTTCTTCGTGAGGTTCTTGGGGAAATTGGTCGATTAGAATTAGGGTTCTAAAATCGAGTCCATAGGTTTGGAGTTCTGTTTGGAGGCGGTTGAGTTAGTCTCTAAGTGCGAGTCATTATGTTGTAGACTGAGCCTTCAAAATAGTTTCCTTGATCATACTTTTTCGAGTTGCTTGGGAATCTCTTGAGAAAGAAGGTAATCGCCGGAGGAAGTTGCCGGAGTTCGCTGGAAGTCTCCGCCGGAGGAGGGAGACGCTGCTTTCCTCTGCCTTGCTACTGCCGCTCCTCCGCCTGGGTTTGCCCGCCAGAAGAAGCTCGAACAGGGAGTGTTCAATTTAATTATAATCACCCTGTTTTTAGGCTTGATGTTGTTTTTTAGTTTTTGTTAAGTTTTCTTTATTTTTTCGGTACTTGGTTGTTGATTTTTGTTGTTTGACAGATTAATATAAAAACACAACATCATCTAAATCATTCTTATCAAAAGGAAAATTTTCTTAATTACAAAAAGTATTTTCCCCCACTAATTTACACAATATATATAATATATATATCATAAATTCAAATGTCTCAATCCCTAATTCACAATGGCTGCACATATGAAAAAAAGTCAAATTTAAATACCAATGATATTAATTGCATTGCTCATGGAGAAATTATTGAAGCAAGTTTCAAGTTTGTTATGAGTAGACAAGTCATTCATATAATTTAGAAAAGAATGCATGGACAAATTTATCAGGTTAGCCCATTTGTTTAAAAAAGTAAGAAACCAAGCCTCTCTCTCGGGTTAAGAGGAATGAGTTTTATTAAAATACTTAACAAAATATAGTTATGCACAAGAGGGGCATTTATAGAAATATTGCTAAAAAGATAAATTAAGCAAAAATACTATAAAAAATTGAGCAAAGTTGTTGATCAGACCACACACCAATACTATCAAGTCTCCATTCGACGAGAAAAACAAGATAGAGATGTTGAAGTTCAACCTCAACTTACTACAAATTGATAATGTGTCGAAAGTAATCAAATTTTGAAGCATGAAACAAATTGTGCACGTAGAGGAGAAGTTGTTCAATCTTACTAGGGAGACGGAAAGATACTATCTAGCACCTGATGAACTAAAGCTGTATAGGGCTTGTCAGAGTAAAAGATTCATCACGAAGATAATATTCTTATGTGCAGTTGCTAGACCGATGTATGCAACCAATGAAGAATGCATATTCAATGGAAAAATAGACATTTTCTCTTTTACAGAAAAATTTCCAACCCAGAGAAAAAAATTCAAAGAATAGCACAACTGAGATAATGGTTACAAAACCGTTAGAATCCATCACCAAGGAAGTCGCAAAGAAACTTTTAATCAATAAGGTATGTTATTTTACTTGTATTTATATGCCTAGACTTCCTTAGCTCTCAGAACATTCTATCACTGTGATATCGATCATAAGTATAAGTCTCCTAAATAAAAATTACGCAAGTAATCCTCACTGGTGACTTTATAAGATGTGATACCAGCAAGAAAGGGGAAGTGGCTAACTGATAGGGACAAAAAATCACTACTTAACAATTTAACACAAAGCCGCATATCAACAACTTTGATTTAGATTTCAGACAATCAACAAACCCCGATGTTCAAAATTAATTTGGTGTTTCAACAACCAAACAACTCAGACACAAATGTGAATGACTTGGGATGGTTCCGGATACTTCCATCTCTATAAATTACACAACCAGGTACCATAGTCGATGACTTACATGGAGCAGTTCACAAATAATTTGAACAGTTATCACATACCACTCTAAATTGAATGTTTCTAAATTTGCAAGCATGTCTTGGTGAGATAATGACTAATATTGGATAGAACCATTATAAGATCCCGGGAAAGACTCTTTAAGAAGGTTAGGGAATCTCTCAAAAGACATTCAAGTGGACCATGAAATGATTAAGACATATATTGATCATTTGATGGATTTAAATAAAGTCGAAGGTCTGAAAGACTTTTATGACTTCTCTAGAGGAGTTTTAGAAAAGATAAGTGTGTAAGTAAGTGTAGTAATATATGCTTTTGATGATGGGACAAATTATGGTTATTGCTATAATACACCTCCATTTATAGATGTTGTTTAAACAATAACTAATAATCTATTTTGTAGGATAAGTAAATTGATTTATACATCCAACAAATTTTTGTATGGCTGAATGTAACTACGGTTTGATGGGATAATATGCATATGCAACACTTTTTGTATGTCACTTTAACAATTTATCATCACAGAGTGTCGTGAACTCACTCTCAGAAATTAATTGACGTTTATAGGGTACTCTCATAGATTAATCATTATTGAGTAAGGGCCGGGGTGTACAAATTTCAATGGACATGTGGTTGCATTACTTATACAATAAACACATGTTGCAACTATGCACAATCAGTACACTTTTAGAAGAAAATTGTCATCGAGTGGGGGCTGTTTATGCATAAAATTTTGTGCATACATGGTGTCTTTACTCATAGAGTAAGCCATCCATGAACAATATGCACTGCACACAACCAACAATCTATATTGCACATAATCAACACAAACCTTCATCATTTTAGCCAATAAAATTGAAATTCTCAACTTCAATTACTCATAACAAAAAATCATAGTAAATATCCTCAGAGTAATCGGGTAAGGTGGTCGCAAGAGGACAGTAAATCCTCAAGAACTGAAGGAACACCTCACGGCGGCTGCGAGCATCGATTCTGGCAATAAGGGTTTCTTCGCCATTTTCTTTTGAATGACAACCGGCGACGGACAGAGGGACACGTCCTCGGAGTTTGGCACAACCCAGCTGGAGTACATGTGGGGCGATTTCAGCATCTCAAAGGTCGAAAATCTTGAGCCTGTATACAAGCAAGGCTTCTCAACCGATGGTTGAAGGCCCCCCACCTCGAAGGTCGCAAGACCAATGTCGAAGGTCCCGCACATCTCCGGTACCATGGATTTGTAAAATTCGAAGTCGAAGAGGGAAAAATCGGAATAGGGCTTCTCAAACGATTTCCGAATGGCCACAACGGGCAAAGCCAGAGGAGGAGCCCTCAATAAATTCTTCGAACGATCGATTACCGTTGGTTGACAGCGACGGCGGAAGCAAAATTCAAAGAGAATGACGAAAATAAAGAACTGAGAGAAAACCCTAAAAGAGCAAGAGGATCAAGAATGAGAATTGATTGAGAATGAACATAATAAGTATTTTTGTTTTTATTAATTTTTTTTATTTTAATAATTTTATTTTATTTTTAATTTTTTTGTTTAGGGTTTAATTTTTAAATAAAAATATGTAAACTTATTAAATGGACGGAAAAAGTATACTTTTATATAAGACCGATAAAATTTTCAAAGAAATATGAGTCTTAATTATCGGTTTCTTTTTAAAAAAGATATAGTAATATACTTGTATTTCATTAAAAATATAATATCAAAAACTTATTTTTTATTCAAAATATTATATTCAATATCTATATTGCATTAATATTCATTTGTTATTCAATTTTTATTATTTTCAAACCATTAGTGTTTGTTTACTTTTTGTGTGATTTTTTTTTTTTAACATATGGATTAGCAGGCGCTAACTAAATTTCCGACCGAACCTAATATTCTGCAAACTAAGTCCGACAAAACAAATCATATTAAGCGAACCATGTGTGACAGATAAAAAATGAAAACGTCGGAATTGAACTCATGACTTCACGGGTCTTATCATAATGTCTCACGAGAAAATAATGTATATTTTTAGAAAATTGAATAGTAAAAGTATGAGAAAAATGCAAAGCAAACAAAACGTTTATCCTACAAAAAAAACTCCAAAACGCTGAGAAACACAAACAAACACGGCCCAAAGATTCTTATGTGTTATTCCCCTCACACATAATGCACTTACGTAATTGCAGGACACATCCTAACGCACCGTTCAACTAATTACAAACCACCACCATATCCCCCCAACCCTTAACTATCTTCTTTTTTTTTCATTTATTTTATTTTATTTTTATTTTCTTTTACAAAAACTTTGTTTTATTTCTTCAGAAAAATAAAAAATAAAAAATAAAAAATAAAAAAAAGCAGCTCCGATTTATGTCTTGATCAGATCATTAATGTCCAATAAGTATGATTTCACCAGCAGTTTTCATTTCCATTTCCATTTTCATGCATGCTTTATTGTTCACCTACCAAATTTCTCCTCCACAGTTAACAACAATACATAACACACCCACACAAAACTTTCGAAATGATTCTTGAGTCCTTATTATTCGAATTTCGTCGTCGAATTTTCGACTTGGAAGAAAACGAAAAGAGAAAGAAAAGAAAATGCTCGTGCCAAGCCTAGTCGAGAGGCTTCGACCTCTCGTCGGGCTCAAGGGCTGGGACTACATTGTCTTGTGGAAGCTCGGCAACGGCCACAGGTTCTACGGAGATTCTTTTTCCGGTTTGAAACTGTCAGTTTTCGGCATTCATTATTATTATTTTTTTTCTATTCATATACATTTACATATACAGGTGTATTGAATGGATAGAGTGCTGTTGCGCGGGAAGCGATGGTGTTGGCGACGAGCTTATTGGCTTCCCATCTTCTTCTTCTTCGCGCCATCCTTGCCGCGATGTAATGTTCCCACACGCGAGAATGGCGTCGTGCGATTTATTGGACCAGCTTCCGTCGACGGTTTCGCTACTCGATTCCGGGTATTAGTACACGAGTTTCGATTTTGAGTTTTTGATGTCGAACATAATGGTGGCTCTGTTTTATGTAGACTTTACGCACAGCCTCTGCTGTCGAACCAAATTTCGTGGCTCAACTATTCTCACAACTCCGAGTTATGTCTATCCAAAGTATGTGTTCATCGAAGATAGATTGTAGATAATGTAGCCTTGTTGTTTTCGTGCAATGAAGCTGATTTTTGTTTGTTTGTTGTAGGAAACTGTCGGGACTCGAGTCTTGATCCCGTTGTCTCTGTCTCTTGGGCTGCTTGAATTGTTTGTCGCCAAACAGGTACGCCGTTCGGTTTTGTTGTTTTTGACGACGAAGATTAGATTAAATTAGATTAGATTAGATATTGTGCGAATGAATTTTTCAGGTGGGTGAGGATCAACAAGTTGTAGAGTTCATCAAGGCACAGTGCAACATTTTCATGGATCAGCAAAGTATGAGCAACTCCGACGACTCCTTCCAGCAGCAGATGTTCGCGGATTCATCGTCAAAAGACAATCTCCTTCACGATCTGCCTCAAGAAATCTCTGTCGACCGGATCCATCTCTGCGCGTCGCCCCTGCAGCAGCAGCAGTTGAGCAACACGTTGGACGCCAGCATGAACAACAACAATAGCAACAATGGCGGCGACATGTTTTTGGAAGGCGCCATGGGGTATGACTCGAACAATATTTTCACACCGTCGATGGAGGTGGAGACAGGTCGGGGAAGTAGTATGATGTCGAGGCTGAATGCGGTGGAAGAGCAGATGAACAATGAGGATTCGTTCTTGTGCGAGAACAACCGGTCGGATGAGTCCGATCCTAACGACGATGAGGAGGACGCCAAGTATCGAAGGAGGACGGGGAAAGGGCCTCAGTCGAAGAACCTGGTGGCCGAGAGGAAGAGGAGAAAGAAACTCAACGACAGGCTTTACTCCCTTAGAGCTCTTGTTCCCAAAATCTCCAAGGTTAGATCAGATCGAGGCAATGTGCTAACCTATTATTATTATTATTATCATTAGGCTAAGTTTCACCAAATTGTGACCAAATCTACCGTGGGTCTGGTTTCATAAATTCTACGTTTAATTCCTAGACGGTCCAAACTACCAATAAAATTTAGAATATCAATTTCTAAACCCTTAAAATTACAGATATATTTACTATTTTTTATATTTATTATTTTTTTTAGACTAAATATAAAAAAATAATATATTTGTAATTTTAAGGGTTTAGAAATTTAAAATTCTAAAATTTATTCGTAATTTGGGCGCATCTAGGTCAAATACCATGACCGCCGAGGGGTTACACGCCTAGTTTATGAAACTACGAGACGCAATTTAAAAAATATAGAGGATTTGACGCAATTTCATGAAATCGGTTTCGTGCAATTTAGTCTTATTATTATATATAATACTCGCATCGACGATGCTGAGTGATGGTTGTGTTGTGTTCATGCAAAGCTGGATAGAGCGTCGATTCTGGGAGACGCGATCGACTACGTGAAGGAGCTGCTGAAGCAAGTTAACGACTTGCAAACGGAGCTGGAAGAGGACGAGCAGTCCGATCAGGATCAGGATCATAATCAGAATCAGAACCCGAACGACAATGAGACATTAAGGCAAGACGACGACAAGGCTGAAAATGCATGCACTCTTCTTCTTAAGCGCCAACATAACAATCGACTCAACCTCAACCACAACAACAACCTCAAAGCTTCGTCGTCCTCGGCCAATGCTAACATTTCTAAGCAGCAACAGCTGGATGGCTCCAGCGACAAAGTGCAGCAACAACAAATGGAGGTCAGAACATTCATTCATTCAATTTCGGGTGTGTTTGTTTCGAGGATTTTGTAAGATTTATACTATTCATTAATTTTTTTTTCCCGAAAAACATCGAATCAAATACCTATTAATTTTACGTTCAAAACACCACGTCACGTCTGTACCTATTTATATCACATTATACAACTATTCAAATTCAAAATTTTTGCTATTCAAATCCCAATTCAAAATTCAAACCTCCACAAAAACTCACTCATTCAATTTCATTCATTCATTCATCCATTAATGGCATGACCCCTATTTTTTATTTTTTACATTCAAAATATCACATCTAACACCTATTTATATTACATTATAACTATTTAAATTCAAAATTTTTACTATTTTCAGCCGCAAGTGGAAGTGTTCCAGCTGGAGGGGAACGAGTTCTTCGTGAAGGTCTTCTGCGAGCACAAAAGTGGGGGGTTTGTGAGGCTGATGGAAGCCCTCAACTCTTTGGGATTGGAAGTAACGAATGTCAATGCCACAAGGCATACATGTCTGGTTTCCACCATCTTCAAAGTTGAGAGAAAGAATGACGATATGGTTCAAGCGGACCATGTTAAGGAATCTTTGCTGGAGCTGACGCGGAATCCTTCTAGAATCTGGGAAGATAATACTGCTGCTGCTACTACTACTAATAATGAATCTGAAAGCATCGGCGGCTGTAATAACAATAATAACAAGAAGAAGAAGAGAGATCAGGACTATCATCGCACCATCCACCATTACTCTTTACTCTGAGATCAACCCTCGCCACGTGGCCACCACCGGGACACAGACACAACATTAATTAGAAGATACATTAATAATAATAATAATAATAATTATTATTATATAATATGAAAAGAAAAAGGAGTTTACTGATGATATATATATATATATATGTTTCTTGTTTGTTTGTACTATATAAGACGGAACCATAGCGGTTTATGATTGATGTTGATATAATTAATTAATAAAAGGCCTTCAATCAAACTCCCTTTACCATACCATGCACTAAATATTAGGATTGTACGGTCCCTATCATCCAATCCAATGTGCGACCGTTTGTTCAATAATAAGTAAAGTAAGCAAAATTTCACTCGTTGTATGAATTTCAACGAATGCGAAATAAATTCAATAATCACATTGAATCGAGGTAAAATTACTCTCCGTAAACACGAATACTTTCCGATAGTGCTTCCGGTTCGTAGCGTAACATTTCCAAAGATAAAACGACATTCGTCTCCAAATTAATTAGGTAGCACCCTAATATTTCGGAGCTCCGACGAACTAAAATGAAGGGACTAGAGCTATATCGGGAAGCTTAATATAAGTGTAAATTACCGAAATATTGACCGAAAATTTGCCGGAAACTTAGAGAAGGAGAGAAAAAAGTTCTCTTGGTTTGGTATCTACAATGAAGTGGTGAAGAGGACCTTTATAGGCACTCCATCCATTGGGAAATAAATTTCCCGAGTTGAAACCGTTGGCTCTTAATTCCGGTAACGTTCGGTCATAAATTTCAAATTCAATTTCGGTCATAAACACCAGTTTAATTTTGGTTATAAACACCAAATTTAATTCCGATCATAAATATTGTTGAAAAATCGGTTAATTATTTAATCGATGAAATTTATTTAAATTAAATTCATAATTTTCGGAACCGACTATTCGCTGAGTTAAAATGCATGTGTGTTGTATGGTGATTATTGATAGTGTGGTTAGGTATATAAATGCCGGTAAGCCGCAAGCGGGCGTGCTACCTGTCCGGACCAGATAATTACATCCATATATGATAAATAATTATTTGAAATTTAAAATTCAAATAATATATTTAAGACCGGAATTAAATTTGATGTTTATGACCGGAATTAAATTGATGTTTATGACCGGAATTAAGTATGGTGTTTATAGCCGGACGTTACCATAATTTAATTATCGTCGATTACAGCAGTTTCGACTCGGGCGTTAATTGCCTCGCTTGATGGAGGTGCCTATAAAAGGTCCTCTCCACCACCCCATTGAAAAAACCACACCAAGAGGAGAAGACTTCTCTTCCTCTATAATCCGGTGAGTTTTCCGGCAAGCTCTGGAATCTATACTTGCCTAGCTTCCTGACATAGTTTAAGTCCCCTTATTTTAGTTCGCCGGAGCTCCGAAATATTAGGGTGACACCTATTTTGGAGATGAACGTCGTTTTATATATTTTTGGGAACGTTACGCCAAGAACCGGAGGCACTACCGGGGTCTATTCGTTTTTACGGAAAGAGGTTCTACCTCAACTCGACCTGATTATCGAATTTATTTCAATAATTTATTGTGATGATTATCGAATTTATTTCGATAAAATAATTGTGATTATCAAATTTATTTGATAATTGATTGTCGAATTTATTTCGATAAAATTGTTGTGATTATTAAATTTATTTTGATAAAATTATCGAATTTATTTCGATAAATTATTTTGATATCGAAATTTATTTTTCGATAATTATTTGATATTCTTGCGATATAATAATCTTCCAAAAAATATATTATTTGAATTTTGAAATTTCAAATAATAATTTATTATACGTGCATGTAACTATAATTTTTGGATCGGACGGGTGGTATGCAGACATGTGGCTTACCGGCATTTATATGCCTGACTACACTATTAATAACTAACGTACTACTACATGCATTTCAACTCACCGAATAATCGATTTTGAAAATTATAAATTTAATTTAAAATTAAATTTCATCGATTAATTAATTAACCGATTTTCGAATGTGCCAAACAATCAATTTGTCTCAATTATACTCTTCGGCTAAACTAAATTATACTCTTCTGAAATTTGATGACACGGGCATCTGTTACATACAATATTTTTATTAAATGTCACTATAATTTGATATATTTTAATTTATATTAAATTAATATTCATAACAAAATAATTATTACGCCGGTAATTATATCACAAAAGTACCCTTTCAAAAGTTTCATGTATAAAACTATGATATATTGGACTGGTTACTATACTGAAAATATTATTTAGTTAACACATCACCACATTTAGTAATGACATTTAGTAATGTATTGATTATTGTGATTATTTAGAAAAAATTTTACTGGTTGTAAAATATATAAATTTAAAAATAAAATAAATTATAAGACTCGATTTATTAAAAAATAATAATAATATAATATTATTTTGTATATTTATGTTTTAGAATATAAATTAATTATTTTAATTGGATTGAATTTTAATAATTTGGGTGTTTGATATTTTAAATTTTAAATAATTCACCTAATAATTTTTAAATAATACAAATTTTTTAGTGGTAACATATTTATTAAATCATAATTTTTTTTTTTTTTTTTTTTTTTTTTTTTTATGAATAAAATCACTGGTGGTACGTGGCACCGTTCCACAAAAGGTGGATCCGCCCCTGATGCTGATCTAGCTAGATCAACGTATACCATATGATGTAAATATTAATTTAGTGAAAAAAAACAAGTGTTGTCATCATGCTTTAACGCGAGTTTGTGTATTTTGTCTCCATAATTTTGTGTTTGCATTTGTTTTCGTAAAAGTAAAAAGTATACATTTATTTTTGGTGCGAGGTATAAAAAATAATAATATTTTAATTATAGTAGGTAGGTAAAAATCGTATAATAATATTTTTGTCCTTACTTTTTGATATAAAAGTAATTATTTGATGTAAAGTAAGGATATTTCTGAAAAAAAAAATGGGGTATTTAATGAAATAGTTACTTTGTAATTGAATGTCCCAAAATAGAAATATCTATACTTTCTAACTTGACGAAGGAAGTAGTATTTTTTGAATAAAATAAATACTTCATTTTTTTTTATACAAGAATTACATTTACTTTTGACACGAAAATAAAAAATATTGTATTATAATGATAGTTAGTGAGTTTTTAGATTAGAAGACAAATTTGCCCTTTAGCTTTATTTGTAATTGAATGATATTTGTATAAATAAATGTAATTGAAAGAGTATTTGTAATGAATAGCGGAACGAGTAATTACTAAACATGTAACTCTTGTAAGTGAACATAAAAAAAAAATAAATAGTGTAATCCTTGTTGCTGGATAGATGAAGTAAATAATTTATCAATCATTCATTTAATAATTTTTTGGAGACAAACTATTATAACAATTATAAAATAAATGATTGATCAATTATTTATTTATTATTCAAATAAGATTATTTAAGATATTTAACCTTTTTTAGTTGCACAAAATTAGCATATTTAACTACATGTTTACAATAAAACATCAGCTTTGGATGAAGAGCGTGTTCCGTACAAATTTTAATATAATACAAGAGAATTTTATGCAATAAATAAAGATAAGACGATCAACGGACAATCATCGAGTTGTGTTTTCATAAGGACCAATGACAATATGATACTAAAGGAGAATGAGGAGTAAAAACTAGTTTGAATTGAGAATCGAATGAATATGAGATAGACAATTAAAGAAAAAAGAGCACTTAAACAATTCAATTTTTTTTTAAGAAAAAAAACAATTGTATAGCAATGGTTGAACCCAAAAGGCTGTCTACCTATCCCAAATAGAGATTAAGCCGTACATAGTTCTTAAGTACAACCAACATAGTCAATACAAGTAATCAACCAACTAAGAGCCTAAGGCTAGCCAAAGTAAATGAGCGCTAGAATCAAGACTAACAAGGCTATAAGCGGGACAACTAAGTACTAACCATATCAGATGCTAAGTACAAATCTACCACCTAGTTAAAGTCATCAAATACACCTAAGAGTGGTAAGCCAAACGTACCTATCGATGGAAGCGAAAGCCCGGTCGTCCCTTGGCATCTGCTTGTAGAAGACCTCGAATTTGCGGAGGAATATCCTCCGACTCCAAAGTCTGATCTCCCGAAAGGGAACAAATTGTGCTCACTAGTGCATCCGCCATCCGATTTCCTTCTCGGTAGATATGGGAGATCCCCCAAGTAGTACCACAGAGCTGCAACCGCAATCGGCTAAGGCACGCTTGTAGGGACTAATGTATGGACGACAACAAAATCAATGCTATGCTGCACATCGAGTCAATCTTGATCTATATGAGAAGGAGGCCATGCACCATCGCTAAGTCCACTCCTCTATGTATCACCTCCAACTCTGCAAAAGTATTCGTCGCATGCCGAATTGGTGACTGATATGCAACCACAGTCGCTCCGAAGGAGTCTCGAATAACACCTGCGGCTCCCGCCAGCCCTGGGTTTCCAAGCGATGCACCATCCGTATTCAACTTAAACCAACCCGGAGATGGTGCCTCCCATCACACAAGTGATGACGATCGAGGAGTCGGTGGAGGGTACCGAAATCCTAGACTCACGGCAATATGTAGATCACCCACCCAATATTTTTGGGTAAGAATACCGGCACTCCAAAACACTTATAACTGAGAATGTACGCGCCAAATAATCCTATCGGGTGAGAAATGAATACCTCAGTGTTTTGCGTCGTTCCGGGCAATCCATATGAACCACATAATCAACAAAGGAATATATGCCTGAACGCTCCTCGAGTGAGACGACGAAAGCCGCCAAAAAGATAATATAAGGTGTGGTACTCGTGTCTTCGGTAAAGTAACCCGAAAGAGCTCCGCAAAGTGACTCCATATCCATTTAGCCATCGCCGACTCCAAGAATAGATGTGCAATCGTCTCCTCAGCACGACAACACTGACATCTCGATACGATATAAACTCTATAGTGTCGAAGTATCTCAGACGGGTATGCGTCAGCGAAATAAATGCCACAAGAAAACCGACATAGTAGGAGTAAGAATGCGTGACCATAGAGCCTCGGAAAGTCAACTCCAAACTCTTACATCTCTACAACGGTCCCATGCCGAAGATGTATTGAACAACCCAGATG